TTTCTTAGGAGATCATTGCTTTAAAGATTGTTGGTAAAAACTCTTCAAATAGATAATCTAAAGACATAAAATATCTGTGATTGTTTATAAAAATGATAACATGTTTGTAGAAAAGGAACCTGGCAGTTATGTGATATGTAAAAGACCATCTATTAACAAAGTCTGCTGTAGTTGAATAGTGACTTATATACACTGGCTATATGGACTTTATATTTCACATTAAACTTCTGTTATTGTATGTTTGGCTAGAACCTTAAAAAGGTTTTAGTTTGAGTTGTTGGTGAATGATCAGAAAACACAATTTAATCATAATAATACTGGTGAATGCTCTTTTTTTTAAACACAGTGATATCCTGTGAAAGTTGGTTATTGTCCCAGAAACAATATTCATCTTTATATGGAAATGGTTGTAATTGACATTTTTGAACTTAATCTGAAAAAATTTATTTTAAAGGAAAGAGCACTATTTTAATTTTTTTAAATCAATTTTTATAGCAAGATATAATTTAAAAGGGCAGAATACAACTTGAAAGTGTACAGCTTTATGACATTTTCCACATAATACACTGCTGTGATTATTGCCAAGAGCAGGAAATACCCATCACACCCCTCATAATTATTCTTGTCCATTTCTAGTCATAACAAACACTTCTATTATCACTGTTGTGACTTTTTCTCTCTTTAAACTGTTCTTGAACTTCATTAAAATGCAGGTATACAGTATATACTTGTTTGTATATAACTTCTTTTGCTCATTCCTTTTGGGAGTGTGTTAGAAGCTCATTTTCTAAATTTGTTTTCATTGTTTTAATTGCTAGGAATATTTCATATTAATAAGTAACACTTAAAAATCCATTCTACTGTATACATATTTGGGTTTGGCGTCCAATTTTAGCCATCATGAATAAAGCTGCTGTGAATATTCTTGCAACTGTAGTGGGATTTGTACATATTATTAGACATATTTGACATTTACCCATATTACTCAATTTAAGAAATTATTGTGAATATGGCTTTTTTGCCAGATACATGCTTTGTAATCTATAGTTTTACATGTGTTATTATGTTACAGTTTTTTAAATTTTTGCTTAGCTTCTTCAAAGCCTAAATTTACAATAGGGAAAATAACTTACTGAGTGAAAAATTGATTTGGCAAAAAAACTGATGAATGTCTTTCTCACCATCTTGCTATAATTGTCAGTCGTGTCTTGTGAGGGGTACACGTAGGACTTTTTTTAAATATCTTTTTTTTCTGCCCTTTGGTGTTGGGAATGGATTCCAGGGCCTTATGCATGCTATGCACGCACTCTGTCGCTGAGCTACATCCCCAACCCCACATTCATTTTGTGATCCAAGGATAAATGATGTTTTTAGTAACACGAAATACATTGCATATTTTTAAAGGTGTCTCTTATACGCAGTGAAGTTATTTTGGAGGCACTCTTTTCTTTCTACTTTCCTTTTGAAAGTGAAAAATGTTTTATTCAGCTTTTGTACTTTGTGCAGGGATCCAGCAGGCAAATGACATAACAATAATAATAGTTACCTTTTTTGAGTGCTTAATGTGTGTCAGATGCTACACAGAGCATTTTATATCCATCATCTCTTTAATCCTAAGAAATTCCTTGTGAGGTAATAATTACTATTTCTGTTTTAGAAAAAAATAAAGAAACGTTGACTCACTGAGGCTTAACAATATGCTATCATTCGACTTAACTAGTAAAGAAGTAGAGGCAGGATTTGCACCACTTAGTACTGACTCTACCGCAAATTCTTTTCCATAATCCTATTTGTTTATCTTCAAACATAAGTAAAAATTTCTTTATACAAAAATGTATATATACATAATTTTATGGAATCACATAAATATGCTATGTACATTTTTATTTTGCTTATTTTTAAGTGTAGTCTTTTCTTCACTGGTGGGCCTTTGTTTCTGGTTTTTAGCTTTAATTTTGTTCTTTTTTTTTTTTAATTCTTTGTTGTTGATGGACCTTTATTTATTCATTTATTTATATGTGGTGCTGAGAATCAAACCCAGTGCCTTACACATGCTAGGCAAGCGTTCCACCACTGAGTTACAACACCAGCCCCATGTTTTTAGCTTTTAAATAGTGCTTTAACTAAATATTCTTACACATGTTCTAAATCTTTTGAGTTTCATGGAAGGGTTGTAGGAACATGAATGCTAGATCAAAGGGTGATGTATTTTTAAAACTAGTTAGTTGGTTGGTTTGTTAATAGTTGGTACTGGGGATTGAACCAAGGGACACTGTACTCTGGCTACATCCCCATTCTTTTTATTTTTTGAGACAGGATCTTGCTAAGTGACTGAGTTGGCCTTGAACTTGATATCCTCCTACCTCTGCCTCCTGAGTAGCTGTGATTAGAGGCATTACCAAGCCCAGCTTGGTTATTTAATTTTGTGTTTAATTTACTTATTTTCTGTTTGGCTTTCAGGATGTGGTAGTTTATAGTTCCACTAGCAATGTAGTTCCACCAGCCAATGAACCTATTGACATATCCCAGCCTGTATTATTATTATTGTTATTGCTGTGATTAATTTTTGCTATCAATAGATGTGATACCAATGTATTGTTAGTTTGCAGTTCCCTGACTGCCAATAAATGTGAGTGATTTTGCTCTTCTTTGAATTACTTCTTCATATTCTTTGTACAATTTTTTTGCTATTCACATTTTTTTTAATTTAAGTTGCTTATTTATTTTTATTTCCTAATTTTTTTAAATTTTTTATTGTTGGTTGTTCAAAACATTACATAGTTCTTGATATATCATATTTCACACTTTGATTCAAGTGGGTTATGAACTCCCATTTTTACCCCATATACAGATTGCAGAATCACATCAGTTACACATCCATTGATTTACATATTGCCATACTAGTGTCTGTTGTGCTCCGCTGCCTTTCCCATCCTCCACCCTCCCCCCTCCCCACCTCTCCCCTCCCCTCCCCTCCTCTCTCTCTACCCCCTCCACTGTATAACCCTGAGGGTCTCCTTCCATTTCCAAGCAATTTCCCTTCTCTCTCCCTTTCCCTCCCACCTCTCATCCCTGTTAAATGTTAATCATCTTCTCATGCTCTTCTTCCCTACTCTGTTCTTAATTACTCTCCTCATATCAAAGAAGACATTTGGCATTTGTTTTTTAGGGATTGGCTAGCTTCACTTAGCATAATCTGCTCTAATGCCATCCATTTCCCTGCAAATTCTATGATTTTGTCATTTTTTAATGCAGAGTAATACTCCATTGTGTATAAATGCCACATTTTTTTTATCCATTCGTCTATTGAAGGGCATCTAGGTTGGTTCCACAGTCTTGCTATTGTGAATTGTGCTGCTATGAACATCGATGTAGCAGTGTCCCTGTAGCATGCTCTTTTTAGGTCTTTAAGGAATAGACCAAGAAGGGGAATAGCTGGGTCAAATGGTGGCTCCATTCCCAGCTTTCCAAGAAATCTCCATACTGCTTTCCAAATTGGCTGCACCAATTTGCAGTCCCACCAGCAATGTACAAGTGTACCCTTTTCCCCACATCCTCGTCAGCACTTGTTGTTTGACTTCCTAATGGCTGCCAATCTTACTGGAGTGAGATGGTATCTTAGGGTGGTTTTGATTTGCATTTCTCTGACAGCTAGAGATGTTGAGCATTTTTTCATGTACTTGTTGATTGACTGTATGTCCTCCTCTGAGAAGTGTCTGTTCAGGTCCTTGGCCCATTTGTTGATTGGGTTGTTTGTTATCTTATTGTCTAATTTTTTGAGTTCTTTGTATACTCTGGATATTAGGGCTCTATCTGAAGTGTGAGGAGTAAAGATTTGTTCCCAGGGTGTAGGCTCCCTATTTACCTCTCTTATTGTTTCTTTTGCTGAGAAAAAACTTTTTAGTTTGCGTAAGTCCCATTTGTTGATTCTAGTTATTAACTTTTGTGCTATGGGTGTCCTATTGAGGAATTTGGAGCCCGACCCCACAGTATGTAGATTGTAGCCAACTTTTTCTTCTATCAGACGGCGTGTCTCTGACTTGATATCAAGCTCCTTGATCCATTTTGAATTAACTTTTGTGCATGGTGAGAGAAAGGGATTCAGTTTCATTTTGTTGCATATGGATTTCCAGTTTTCCCAGCACCATTTGTTGAAGATGCTATCCTTCCTCCATTGCATGCTTTTAGCCCCTTTATCAAATATAAGATAGTTGTAGTTTTGTGGATTGGTTTCTGTGTCCTCTATTCTGTACCATTGGTCCACCCGCCTGTTTTGGTACCAGTACCATGCTGTTTTTGTTACTATTGCTCTGTAGTATAGTTTGAAGTCTGGTATCGCTATACCGCCTGATTCACACTTCCTGCTTAGCATTGTTTTTGCTATTCTGGGTCTTTTATTTTTCCATATGAATTTCATGATTGCTTTCTCTATTTCTACAAGAAATGCCGTTGGGATTTTGATTGGCATTGCATTAAACCTATAGAGAACTTTTGGTAATATCGCCATTTTGATGATGTTAGTTCTGCCTATCCATGAACAGGGTATATTTTTCCATCTTCTAAGATCTTCTTCTATTTCTCTCTTTAGGGTCCTGTAGTTTTCACTGTATAAGTCTTTCACCTCTTTTGTTAGGTTGATTCCCAAGTATTTTATTTTTTTTGAAAACATTGTGAATGGAGTGGTTGTCCTCATTTCCATTTCAGAGGATTTGTCGCTGATATACAGGAATGCCTTTGATTTATGCGTGTTGATTTTATATCCTGCCACTTTGCTGAATTCATTTATTAGCTCTAATAGTTTCTTTGTAGACCCTTTTGGGTCTGCTAGGTATAGAATCATGTCATCTGCAAATAGTGATAATTTAAGTTCTTCTTTTCCTATTTTGATGCCTTTAATTTCTTTCGTCTGTCTAATTGCTCTGGCCAGTGTTTCGAGAACTATGTTGAACAGAAGTGGTGAGAGAGGGCATCCCTGTCTTGTTCCAGATTTTAGAGGGAATGCCTTCAATTTTTCTCCATTCAGAATGATGCTAGCCTGAGGCTTAGCATAGATTGCTTTTACAATATTGAGGTATGTTCCTGTTATCCCTAGTTTTTCTAGAGTTTTGAACATAAAGGGATGCTGTACTTTGTCGAATGCCTTTTCCACATCTATCGAGATGATCATATGGTTCTTATTTTTAAGTCTATTGATGTGGTGAATAACATTTATTGATTTCCGTATATTGAACCAGCCTTGCATCCCAGGGATGAATCCTACTTGATCATGGTGCACAATTTTTTTGATATGTTTTTGTATCCGATTCGCCAGAATTTTATTGAGGATTTTTGCATCTAGGTTCATTAGAGATATTGGTCTGTAGTTTTCTTTCTTTGAAGTGTCTTTGTCTGGTTTAGGTATCAGGGTGATGTTGGCCTCGTAGAATGAATTTGGAAGTTCTCCCTCTTTTTCTATTTCCTGAAGTAGCTTGAAAAGTATTGGTATTAGTTCCTCTTTAAAGGTTTTGTAAAACTCTGCTGTATACCCATCCGGTCCCGGGCTTTTCTTAGTTGGTAGTCTTCTGATGGTTTCTTCTATTTCCTCAATTGATATTGGTCTGTTTAGGTTGTCTATATCCTCCTGACTCAATCTGGGCAGATCATATGGCTTAAGAAATTTATCTATGCCTTCACTATCTTCTAATTTATTGGAGTATAAGGATTCAAAATAATTTTTGATTATCTTCTGTATTTCTGAAGTGTCTGTTGTGATATTGCCTTTTTCATCCCGTATGCTAGTAATTTGAGTTCTCTATCTTCTTCTCTTCTCTAGCATGTCTAAGGGTCTGTCGATTTTGTTTATTTTTTCAAAGAACCAACTTTTAGTTTTGTCAATTTTTTCAATTGTTTCTTTTGTTTCGATTTCATTAATTTCAGCTCTGATTTTAATTATTTCTTGCCTTCTACTTCTTTTGCTGTTGTTTTGCTCTTCTTTTTCTAGGATTTTGAGATGAAGTATGAGATCATTTATTTGTTGGTTTTTTTCTTTTTTTAACGAATGAACTCCAAGCAATGAATTTTCCTCTTAGAACTGCTTTCAATGTGTCCCATAGATTCCGATATGTTGTGTCTGTATTTTCATTTATCTCTAAGAATTTTTTAATTTCCTCCTTGATGTCTTCTATAACCCATTGATCATTCAGTAACCTATTGTTCATTCTGCAAGTGATGCATGCTTTTTCCTTCCTTCTTTTATCGTTGATTTTCAGTTTCATTCCATTATGATCAGATAAGATGCATGGTATTATCTCTACTCCTTTATATTGTCTAAGAGTTGCCCTGTGACATAATATATGATCTATTTTTGAGAAGGATCCATGTGCTGCTGAGAAAAAATGTAACTGCTTGATGTTGGGTGGTATACTCTATATATGTCAATTAGGTCTAGGTTATTAATAGTGTTATTGAGTTCTATAGTTTCCTTATTCAACTTTTGTTTGGAAGATCTGTCCAGTGGCGAGAGAGGTGTGTTGAAGTCTCCCATGATTATGGTATGGTGGTCTATTAGACTCTTGAACTTGAGAAGAGTTTGTTTGACGAACACAGCTGCACCATTGTTTGGGGCATAAATATTTATGATTGTTATGTCTTGTTGGTGTATGGTTCCATTAAGCAGTATGTAGTGTCCCTCTTTATCCCTTTTGATTAACTTTGGCTTGAAATCTATTTTATTTGATATGAGTATGGACACTCCTGCTTGTTTCCGAAGTCCATATGAGTGATATGATTTTTCCCAACCTTTCTCCTTCAGCCTATGTATGTCTTTTCCTATCAAATGCGTCTCCTGTAGGCAGCATATTGTTGGGTCTTGTTTTGTGATCCATTCTACTAGCCTGTGTCTCTTAATTGGTGAGTTTAAGCCATTAACATTTAGGGTTATTATTGAGATATGGGTTGTTCTTCCAGCCATATTTGTTTATTTCTGTTACTAAACATGGTTTGTTTTCCTCTTTGATTATTTTCCCCCCTTTAGTGTCCTACCTCCCACTGTTGGTTTTCATTGTTATTTTCCATTTCCTCTTCCTGTAATGTTTTGCCAAGGATGTTTTGAAGAGATGGTTTTCTAGCTGCAAATTCTTTTAACTTTTGTTTATCGTGGAAGGTTTTAATTTCATCTTCCATCCTGAAGCTTAATTTCGCTGGATACACAATTCTTGGTTAGAACCCATTTTCTCTCAGTGTTTGAAATATGTTATTCCAGGATCTTCTAGCTTTCAGAGTCTGTGTTGAAAGATCAACTGTTATCCTGATTGGCTTACCCCTAAATGTAATCTGCTTCCTTTCTCTTGTAGCTTTTAAAACTCTCTCCTTATTCTGTATGTTGGGCATCTTCATTATAATGTGTCTAGGTGTGGATCTCTTATAATTTTGTACATTCGGCGTCCTGTAGGCTTCTAGGACTTGGGATTCTGTCTCATTCTTCAAGTCTGGGAAGTTTTCTCGTATTATTTCATTGAATAGATTGCTCATTCCTTTGGTTTGGAGTTCTATACCTTCCTGTATCCCAATGACTCTTAAGTTTGGTCTCTTAATGTTATCCCATATTTCTTGGATGTTCTGCTCATGGTTTCTTAACAGTCTTGCTGAGCTGTCTATGTTCTTTTCAAGTTGAAATATTTTGTCTTCATTGTCTGATGTTCTATCTTCTAAGTGTTCTACTCTGCTGGTAGTATTCTCAATTGAGTTTTTAAGTTGGTTTATTCCTTCCTGCATTTCTAGGATTTCTGTTTGTTTGTTTTTTATAACCTCTATCTCCCTATATAGTTGATCCTTTGCTTCCTGGATTTGTTTGTGTAATTCATTGTCGAAGTGATCTTTCATTGTCTGATTTTGCTGTCTAATGTCTTCAGTGATCTTTCATTGTCTGATTTTGCTGTCTAATGTCTTCCTTGATACTCCAGATCATCTGAAGCATGTATATCCTGAATTCTTTATCTGACATTCCATCTGCTGCAGCTGTTACCTCTTCTAAAGTTGAGTTGACCTGCATTGCTTCTGGTCCTTTCTTTCCTTGTCTTTTCATACTGCTTGTGTTTCTTTCTTCTTGGTGAAACTGTTGTGTTTTTGAAAATGTTTTCCCCCTATATATTTATATTGCTCTTGTATAGTTGAAAAGTCTCCCTTGCAGGGTCGGGCGCCGGTCTGCCTACCTTGCAGGCGCGGGCGGCGGCTCTGCCCTGCCCCTCCTACTACGCCCGCGGACCGCTGGGCCTGGTCTGCAGGTTGGTCGCAGGTCTGCCCACCTTGTGGGCGCGGGTGGCGGCTCTGCTCTGCCCCCTCTCCAATTGGGGTCACGCGACCACCACGCCGGCGAGCCGCTGGGCCTGCTCCGGGCGCGGGCGGTGGCCCCGCTCCTCCCCTCTGGCTCGACGACAAAGTGAGAGAGACTCGGGTGTCTGTGACTCAGCCTCCCTACCAGGAGACCAACTGTTTCTGTCGCCGCTGTTATTGATGAAGTTCTCTCCTCCGCCGCTTTCTGATGACATCAGATCTCTGCCATGTTCGTATCCTATGCGAATGGCAGCATTTCGTTCCCTTTGCCGGGTGACCAAAGCAACGGGTGAGTCCTGACCGACCCTCACAGGCCCGTCTCAGTCCTGTTGCCACTGCCCACGAAGGCTCGGTTGGTATTTACCTCCACAGTACTCAGCAGGACCCGGACCGAGAAGCAGTTTCCGCAGGCTCTTTAGCCCTGGGCCAGAGTAGTACCGGGATCCGGAACTCAGCCGCTCCGTGCTCGGTGTATGTTCTGATAAGAGCAGGCTCCAAGAAGCAGTTTCCGCGGGTTATTTAGCACTGAGCCTGAGTAATTTGTCTGCAAGCCGCAGGCGAATGGCAGCCTGAAATTACCTGTTCTATGGCTGAATGAGCTGCGATCAGTCGAAAACAGGGATGGTGTCGTCAGCTCTCCAAGATGGTGGCCGCTTGCCTCCTCTGTGGTCTGACTGGTGTGGAGAACTGAATTGGACCGCTTCCTTCCCCCGTCTCAAACCCAGAATTCAGCACTTAGTACGGTAATTGCACAGCTGGCAGAAGCCCGCGGAAACTGCAGCGCTGTATCCCTGCGTCGCTATCTCCTCGTTTCCCAGTGTGCGCCGCAGACTCTAGCCGTGGGGCGATTTGCTGAATAAGCAGTGTGACCCTCCGTGCGGACAAATCTCTCGCGTTTGAGCCCCCGTAGCCGATCCTCGTGCAATGGAAATCCTTCCTCCAGGTTCCGGAGCACCCCACTATTGCTGGAAATTCCTAACAAGATAACCTTTAGCCGTCCTGACTCGTCATTCTCCCACACTGTGACGCGGCACACGGGGGCAATGCACTCCCCTCGCCGCCATCTTCCTCCCTAATAATATTGTTAGTTTGCAGTATTGATACCAATGTATTGTTAGTTTGCAGTTCCCTGACTGCCAATAAATGTGAGTGATTTTGCTCTTCTTTGAATTACTTCTTCATATTCTTTGTACAATTTTTTGCTATTCACATTTAAAAAAATTCTTTTGTTGTAATTGGACACAATACCTTTATTTTTGTTTATTTATTTTTATGTGGTACTGAGGATCGAACCTAGCTTGCACAAGCTTGGTGAGAATTCTACCCGTGAGCCACAACCCCAGCCCCATGGTATTCACATTTTTTATTGTGGTTATTACAGTTGTACATAGTAGTGGGATATGTTGTTACACATACATGCACACAATATAACAGTATAATTGGGCCAATATCACTCCCCAACATTGTACCTTTGTCTATTTAAGAGGTTAATTTCTGATCACTCTCTATAAATTATGAATATTAATGTTTTGCAGCTGCATTATACATATTTTTAGTCGATTTTTATTTTTTTATTCTAATTTGTTATATATGACAGCAGAGTGCATTACAATTCATATTATACATATAGAGCACAATTTTTCATATCTCTGGTTGTATACAAAGTATAGTCATACCATTCGTGTCTTCATATGTGTACTTAGGTAATGATGTCCATCTCAATCCACCATCTTTTCTACCCCTGTGTGTGTGTATACACACACACACACACACACACACACACACACACACATATATATATATATACATAATTCACAATGGAATATTGTGTATATGTATGCCACATTTTCTTTATCCATTCATCTACTGAAGGGCATCTAGGTTACTTCCACAGTTTAGCTATTGTGAATTTGCAGCTATATACATTGATGTGGCTGTGTCCCTTATAGTATGCTGTTTTTCCATCCTTTATGTATAGACCGAGGAGTGGGATAGCTGGTTCAAATGGTGGTTCCATTCTCAATTTTCTGAGAAATCCCCATATTGCTTTCCACATTGGCTGCACCAATTTGCAGTCCCACCAGCAGTGTATGAGTGTACCTTTTCCCCCACATCCTCACCAACACTTATTGTTGTTTGTATTCTTAATTGCTGCATTCTGACTAGAATGAGATGAAATCTTAAAGTAGTTTTGATTTGCATTTTTCTAATTGCTAGAAATGTTGAACATTTTTTCATATATTTGTTGATGGATTGTATGTCTTCTTCTGAGAAGAGTCTGTTCAGTTCCTGGGCCCATTTATTGATTGGGTTATTTGGGTTTTTGGTGTTTAGATTTTTTAGTTCTTTATATATCCTAGAGAGTAGTGCTCTGTTTGATGTGTGTATGGTAAAAATTTGCTCCCAAAATGTAGGCTCTCTATTCACCTCACTGATTGTTTCTTTTGCTGAGAAGAACCTTTTTAGTTGAATCCATCCCATTTATTGATTCTTGATTTTAATTCTTGCACTGTAGGATTATTATTAAAGAAGTAAGGGGCTTAATCCAACATGATGGAGATTTTGGCCTACTTTTTCTTCTATTAGATGCAGGGGCTCTGATATAATTCCTAAGTCCTTGATCTACTTTGAGTTGAGTTTTGTTCATGGTGAGAGAGAGGAGTTTTATTTCATTTTGTTGCATATGGATTTCCATTTTCTCAGCATATTTGTTGAAGAGGCTATCATTTTTCCAATGTATGTTTCTGGTGCCTTTGTTTAATATAAGATAACCGTGATTATGTGGGTTTATCTCTGTGTCCTCTATTCTGTACCGTTGGTCTATCAGTCTCTTTTGGTGCCAATACCATGCTGGTTTTGTTACTATTGCTTTGTGGTATAGTTTAAATTCTGGTATAGTGATGCCACCTGCTTCACTCTTCTTGCTAAGGAATGCTTTAGCTATTCTGGATCTCCTATTTTTCCAGATGAATTTCATGACTGCTTTTTCTGTTTCCATGAGGAATGTCATTGGGATTTTCCTTGGAATTGCATTAAATCTGTATAGTGCTTTTTGGTAGTATGGTCATTTTGACAATATCAATTTTACCTAAGAACAAGTTAGATCTTTCCGTCTTCTAAGGTCTTCTTTAATTTCTGTCTTTAGCGTTCTTTAGTTTTCATTGTAGAGGTCTTTAACCTCTTTTATTAGATTGATTCCCAAATATTTTTTTTTCTATTTGAGATTATTGTGAACGGGGTAGTTTTTCCTCGTTTCCCTTTCAGAGGATTTGTCACTGATATACAGAAATGCCTTTGATTTATAGGTGTTGATTTTGTATCTTGCTACTTTGCTGAATTTATGTACTAGTTCTAGAAGTTTTCTGGTGGAATTTTTTGGAATCTTCCAAGGATAGAATCATATTGTTGGCAAATGGTGCTAGTTTGAGTTCTTCTTTTTCTATCCATATCCCTTTAATTTTTTTCATCTGTCTCAAAAAAAAAAAAAAAATGACCAAACATTACATCTCAAAGCCCTAGAAAAATAGGAAACAAATCAATACCAGAAGCAGAAGAAGACAGGAAATAATTAAAATCAGAGATGAAATGAATTAAATTTAAACAAAAGAAATAATTGAAAAAATTGACAAAACAAAAGTTGGTTCTTTGAAAAAAATAAATTAAATTGACAAACCCTTAGCCATGCTAACAAAGAGAAGGAGAGAGAAAACTCAAATTACTAACATTGATGATGAAAAAGGAAATATCACAACAACACTACAGAAAGACAGAAGATAATTAGAAATTATTTTGAAAACTTTTACTCCAATAAAATAGAAAATATTGAAGGCATTGACAAATTTTCTAGAGTCGTATGATTTGCCCAAATTGAATCAGGATGATATGCACAAGTTAAACAGATCAATTTCAAGCAACGAAATAGAAAGCGCCATCAGGAGCCTACCAACCAAGAAAAGCCCAGGACCGAATGGAAACACAGCTAGTTCTACAAGACCTTTGAAGGAGAACTAATACCAAAACTCTTCAAATTATTTCATGAAATAGAAAAAGAGGGAGCACCTCCAAACTCATTGTATGAGGTCAATATCACCCTGATTCCAGAACCAGGCATAAATACATCAAAGAAGGAAACTTCAGACCAATATCTCTAAAGAACATAGATGCAAAAATTCTCATTAAAATTCTGGCAAACATATCAAAAAGATAGTGTACCTCCATCAAGTGGGAATCATTCCAGGGATTCAAGGTTGGTTCAACATACGAAAAAATCCATAAATGTAATTCATCACATCAGTAGAATAGGAATCATATGATTATCTCAATGGATGTAGTAAAAGCACTCAACAAAATACAGCACCCCTTCATATTGAAAATACTAAAAAACTAGGGATAACAGGAATGTATCTCAACATGGTAAAAGCCATTTATGCTAAGCCCCAGGCCAACATCATTCTAAATGGATAAAAATTGAAAGCATTCTCTCTAAAAATGGGAACAAGACAGGGATGCTCTCTTTCACCACTTCTATTTTGTCAATTTTTAATTGGCTTTATTTATGGTTTTATGCCTTGCAAAACATTTTCAATTCCTATGTAGAAAATGTGTCATGGTTAAGATATTTCCTATCTCTTGCCAGGCATGGTGGCACACACTTATAATCCTGTGGACTCAGGACGTTGAGACAGGAGGATGGCAAATTCTAGGCTAACCTCAGCTACTTAGTCAGACCCTGTCTCAAAATAAAAAGGACTGGGGATGTATCTCCATGGCAGAATGCCCCTTGGTTCAATCCCCAGTACCAAAAATAAAAGGGTATGTAGTTTGGTGGTAAAAACCCCTGAGTTTGATTCCCACTACTGCACAAACTTAAAAAACCTCTCCTAAGAGTCTTTTGTAAATGTAATTTGGAGATTTTGTTACAATATTTTTATTTTACATGTTAAAATTTTTATGTCTTTAGTCCATCTGGCATTTATTTTTTAACATAGCATAAGATAGCATTCCAATTTTACTTTCTTCCAGATGGATAGCCAGTTGTGTTATTCCTATTTTCCTACTGAGTACAACTACCATCATTGTCATATCTTACATTCTATCATCTATACTGGGATTGTTCTGTTACTAACCTGTTTGTGTTTTCCTCTCTCAATACTCTTTTGACTAAAGAGGCTATGATTTATGTTCTGATACTTTGTGAAGCAAGTCTTTTCTATTTCCTATGAATTACTTGACTATTCTTTCAATTTTAATCTTCCACAAAAGCCTTAAAATCATTTATCCAATCTCATCACCACCACTATCTTATAAGGTTATGTAGTGATTCTAATTTGAATTCATTAATTGACATTGAGTGTGTAAATTGAAAATTGTTATTATATCTTCACAACTAAGAATAATGGGATGTCTTTCTACCTGTTCAGTAAAGACTTCAGATATGCCTTCATGTGAGTCTTGTGCCTTTTTTATTTTATTCCCAGATTATCTTAGAGTACTCACAAGGTAAGTGGAGGATTTTTTTGTTTTTTGTTTTTCCATTTGGTTCAATAGAGAAAAAACATTGATAAATTTTCTGTTCATCTACCTGTTGAGTTTTGATGATTTCCAAAAATGCATATTTTAGATTTCTAAATGTACAGTAAAAATGTTTCACCTCTTTGATTTCAGTGTCTATGGAAGCTACCAGTTGTCTTGATTTTGTTTTTATATGTGGTAGAAATATTAAGACAGTGTCAGATTTGATGATGGTGATAATTAAATTCCTTCTCTAATTCCTGATTTTAGTTAAAATGATTTTAGCTTTTCAATCTTTGGGGGAAATATGCTATTTATTTTTTATAAATAATTTTTCTTTCTTTCTTTTTTTTTTAATTCTTTGTTGGAATTTGTTGGTGGTGGTGGTGATGGTGCTGAGGGATTGAACCTAGGGGCACTGTACCATTGAGACATATCTCCAGCCCTTTTTATTTTTTGAGACAGAGCCTTGTTTAGTTGCTGAGGCTGCCTTGAACTTTCAATCTTCCTGTCTCAAGTCTTCTGAATTGCAGGGATTACAGGGATGCACCACTGTGAGCAGCTTAAGGTTGGAATTTTTATTAGGAACGTCTACTGAATTTTATTAAGAGCTTTTTCAGCATTTCATGAACATTATTTTCTTTCATTTGTTGATGCAGTGCATAGTTCATCAACATGATAGACTTGATATTGTTTACAGTTGGCTTCATGTAATAAATTTCTACAAAACAAGTACCTCTAACTAAATTCTTTGTGTTCTTTTCTTTCTGGTCTTTGGCCAGGAGCTCTTCAGTCCTGATCTTTAGATGATACTAGTAAGTCTCGAATGGAAGCCTCTTAGCTCCAGTTGCTAGTTATCCTAGGGTTTGGTGACTTATGTTAAGTTGGAGTTGAGAATAAAGACAAAGGAAGGCATTTTCTATTCCTAGAATCCTCCTGTTCCTTCTTTGTTTTGTTTTGTTGTTGTTGTTGGTTTTAGTTTTTTTTTTTTTTTTCTTTTGAGAGATAGAGAGAATTTATTTATTTTTTAGTTTTCAGTGGACACAACATCTTTATTTGTATGTGGTGCTGAGGATTGAACCCAGGCCGCACGCATGCCAGGCGAATGCGCTACCCTTGAGCCACATCCCCAGCCCCAAGTTTTTTTATTTTATGTAAGTATGTCTTTCTGTTCCTTTTAAGTCAGTGTTTAGTAGGCAAAATTTACACCAAACTACTTCTACAACAGATTTTTTCCCCCAGCTCTTTTTATTTTTAAGACAAGTTTTTGTTAAGTTGCCCAGGCTGACCTGAAACTTGGGATTCTCCTGTCTAAGCCTCCCAAGTAGTTGGAATTGCAGGCTCACACCACTGTGCTGGGCTCTGAAACCTTTTTAATAATGAGAAAATAATGAAATATCAATGTATCTTGATGTTTTTCCTTCCTTCCATCCTTTTGGCCTTTTTTTCTGAAACTAATCTGCATTGTTTTCTTCAGTGATTGTCAATTTCAGTGGAAGGAACATTTTTGCCATGAAGCTTTTATTCAGAACCTAAACTAGTAGCAAGCTCATATAATCAATATTTACATTTCTAATTGTTTATTCAAAGGAGACTATAAAGGCCCAGATGCATTTTTACAAGTCTGGAAAAATAAATTATTAGTTATGATTTCATTATCAAATTATTAGTTATGATTTCATTATAAAGCAGATCGATTTACTAGGCAGTAATTAAATAATACTTACTCACAGGAACCTGCCTGTGGATGCCCAACAATAAAAGGGGATTGATTTATCAAGAACAGTGCTGGATGTAAAGTTTGAAATCCTGAGTACTAGTCTTAGTGCTCTATCTAGCTTCCTTGAACTCAGATGGGGTTCTGTACCTATGACCATTCATTTCCTCTTCTCTAAAATGAGGTTCCTGAAGTAAGTGGTTGATCCTTCTTTAAACTTTAACATTGTGGAAAATCAGATACTATTGGTCCTCTGTATCCACAGATTACATATTTGTGGGTTCCATATCCCCAAATTTAACCAACTAGAGATTGAAAGTGTTAATTGAAAAAAGTTGCTTCAGTCCTGAATATTTACACACACTTTTTTTCTTGACAATATTTTTTAAACAACATAGTAGTTAAATAGCATCTACATTATATCAGTTTTACAAGTAATCAGGATACAGGAAGATTATGTAGGTTAAATGCAAATACTTCACCCTTTTTATAAGGAACCTGAGCATCTACAGATTTTGGTGTCTGACACAGTTCCCAGAACTAGTCTCCCTTAGATACTGAGGGACCATTGGAGTGTTTGAGCCCTGCCTCAAAATACAGGCCATGATTCCAGTGTTTCACAGCTGAGTTATTTTTTTTTTAAATACATGACAGCAGAATGCATTACAATTCTTATTACTCATATAGAGCACAATTTTTCATATCACAGCTGAGTTCTTTTGCTGTCTGGTTCTATAGGAAATTAGGTTGTTGTGAACTTTCTGGTGCATTGCATGCTCCAATAGAGCAATTAACTATAGTGGATACCTTTAAAGTTTTATTTGTGAAAATAATTTTAAACCATGGTGTCTCTATGAAGTCATTTCTCCTCTAGGGAGTTCTTGTAAGTAATGTCTGTCTAGGGAGCTTTAAAGGGTTTTTGTTTTTTTTTTTGTTTGTTTGTTTGTTTTTTTGGGGGGGGAGTGTTTGTTTGGTACTGGGGATTGAACCCAGGGACACTTAACCCAATGAGACAGTCTCATTGAGTTGCTTTTAGTTTTTCTAAGTTGCTTAGGCTGGATTTGAACTCGTGATCCTCCTGACTCAGCTTCCTGAGTCACTGGGATTACAGGTATGACCACCACACCTGACATAAAAGGTTTTGAACTTACTGGAATGTAAATGTAGAGCTGGGCTTGTAGCTTAGTGGTGGTAGAACATTGGCCTAGTACATGTGAGGGCACTGGGGTTGATCCTCAGCACCACATAAAAATAAATAAAATGAAAATATTGTATCCATCTACAACTAAAAATGTATCTTAAAAAAAAAAAAATGTCGGGGCTAGAGTTGTAGCTCAGTGATAGAGCACTTGCCTTGCATGCATGAGGCCCCGGGTTTGGTCCTTAGCACCACATAAAAATAAAGATATTGTGTGTGGGAGACCAACCTTACACGTGACTGGGTCACACTCCCTGGCTGGGTGCTGAGGCGCTCAGTCACAGAAATGTGGTCATTGTCTCGTTCATGGGTGTGTCTTGCTATAGCCCCATGGGTGAAGCTATGCTCACCTGTTCCTTTGTAATATAACCCCTTGCCCTGTTTAGGATAGAATCTTCCATGGAAGTGCCTTGTGTGTGTCCCCTTCTCTTACTGTGTTCTTGGGTGTGGCCTACCCAGGTGTCAGTCACCTACTGGGGTTGATCCTCAGCACCACATAAAAATAAATAAAATAAAAATATTGTATCCATCTACAACTAAAAATGTATCTTAAAAAAAAAAATGTCGGGGCTAGAGTTGTAGCTCAGTGATAGAGCACTTGCCTTGCATGCATGAGGCCCCGGGTTTGGTCCTTAGCACCACATAAAAATAAAGATATTGTGTGTGGGAGACCAACCTTACTTCTGTGTGTGTGTGTGTGTGTGTGTGCTTTTTGTATATCAGATTGGGGAACATTTTCTTTATTTTTATCTTGAAAAACTGATTTTAAAGTTTCTTGAAACTGGTGAATATCCAGTGAATCATGAGAGAGAAAATGCTGAATATTTAACTGTTCAGCTAGAACTTCTCATGCAGCTGAATTATGATTTCTCACTTGCCATATACAGTTAACACACTTCTTCTTTAATATTCTTTGTTCCTTGGAAAAATGCTAAAAGAAAATAGGAATTTCCCATTATTGCCTTTGTGGAAATGTATTCATATCTAATTCCTGACTCGCTGCCCTGGCTACTACCCGTTTTCCTTGCTACCAATTTTCCTTGCTTTTCTGCTTAAGAGAGGGATTCCAGACAGACGAGGAAACAGCTTTTAAATGCTGCACTGCGGGTGTACTAAGCCATTCCCCCACTGTGCAGTCTGGAAATCCAGGAGCACCTCTCTGGCAATGCATTCTAATGAGTTGCTAAAGATGCCAGAGCATGTGCATGCATTTTCTTTCCCCTCCCCCTTTCTTCCTTTTTCCAAGCCCCCTCTTCTCCCTGTTTCCCCTCCTTCTCCTTTATCCCCTCCCTCTGTGTCTCAGTTCTGCAGTACACAGGAGGGAAGCACACTCCTGCATTGCAAGGCTTTCTCTTAAGGAAGTATTGTGGCTTTTGTTTGGATTGCAGTGTGCAGACTTACAGGTAACACTGAAATTGAGTTAAACAGTTATATTCTATTAAATTGTTTTCAGATGTAAAATATTACATTGGATTTCATGGAAAAAATAAGTGAATCTTGGCTAATTTTACTAGTGGTGATTGTAATGAAATGTTTTCAGAATTACCATAAGCAGATTCTATAAACAACTCAAATGAAAGAAAATGGGGGTAGATTGATCTGTGATTGCTTTTGTTTTATGTTTATCTTGAAAGCTTGGTGTGGTGTTGCTTCTCTTTAGAGTAAGGACCAGTTATGTGGGGTGTTATTGATTGTAGCCATGGTAGTGATATCAGAAGGGGTGGAGTGGGAAGGGTGACAGCAGCCTGGGCTAGCTAGGTTCTTCGATTTAGGGCACTGGATGCAAATGTAAATTGCTTTCTCCTTTTCTTCTATCAGCTGTTCAGAGGAGACTCATTACAACTCCTGCTGAAGCTCCTAATCTTCCTCCCTTCTTCTAGCCCTTTTCTCTACCCTAACTTGGCCTGAAGACATTGTCCCCCAAATTTACCTTTCTCCCTTGGTGCTATATGTATGGTGAACTTGGCACTATGGCCTCGTCTGGGACTGGCCAGACGATGACTCTTGGCTCTCCCTATTCCAAGAAGGATTTAAAGGGAAATTGCACTGCAGGCAATGCATCAGAGCAGCAGCATCGGGAGCTTGGGGACTGAGGCTCTTCTGGCAGTATTATACACATGCACAGCTGACCGCAATGACAGCAGCTGCTCCTTTGAACTGTTGGCAGCAGCCAAGCGGCAGCATGAAGTGAGAGATCACTCCTGAGCTCAAGATGAACTCCACCTTGGATGGTAATCAGAGCAGCCACTCTTTTTGTCTCTTGGCATTTGACTACTTGGAAACTGTCAGTTTTTGCCTTTTGGAAGTGCTGATTATTGTTTTTCTAACAGTATTGATTATTTCTGGCAACATCATTGTGATTTTTGTATTTCACTGTGCACCTTTGTTGAACCATCACACTACAAGTTATTTTATCCAGACAATGGCATATGCTGACCTCCTGGTGGGGGTAAGCTGCTTGGTCCCTTCTTTATCACTCCTTCACTATTCCCTACCATTAGAGGAGTCCTTGACTTGCCAGATATTTGGCTTTGCAGTATCAGTTCTGAAGAGTGTCTCTATGGCTTCTCTGGCCTGTATCAGCATTGATAGATACATTGCCATCACTAAGCCTTTAACGTATAATACCCTGGTTACACCCTGGAGACTACGCCTGTGTATTTTCCTGATTTGGCTATACTCCACCCTCATCTTCCTGCCTTCCTTTTTCCACTGGGGCAAACCTGGATATCATGGAGATGTCTTTCAGTGGTGTGCGGAGTCCTGGCACACAGACCCATACTTCACCTTGTTCATCGTGATAATGTTATATGCCCCAGCAGCCCTCATTGTCTGCTTCACATATTTCAACATCTTCCGCATCTGCCAACAGCATACAAAGGAAATCAGCGAAAGGCAAGCCCGCTTCAGCAGCCAGAGTGGGGAGACTGGGGAAGAACAGGCCTGTCCCGATAAGCGTTATGCCATGGTCCTGTTCCGCATCACTAGTGTATTTTATGTCCTCTGGTTGCCCTATATTATCTACTTCTTGTTGGAGAGTTCCACTGGCCACAGCAACCGCTTCGTATCCTTCTTGACCACCTGGCTTGCTATTAGTAACAGTTTCTGCAATTGTGTCATTTATAGTCTGTCCAACAGTGTCTTCCAAAGAGGACTTAAACGCCTATCAGGGGCTGTGTGTACTTGTGCAAGTCAGACCACTGACAAGGACCCTTATACAGTTAGGAGCAAAGGCCCCCTTAATGGATGTCATGTCTGAAATGGCTCAGTCACTAGTTCACTAGGAAATCGGGGACAGAATAATTTGACTAAGCAATAGCACACAAGTGATCTATCCAAATATCTTTTTTTTAAGTTTGCATGAAATTTTTTCCTAAATGTGATTTTGAATCAGAAGAATCAGGATCATGAGGATAAATTTCTCTTGTTCCAGTTTTTGAAATGTCATGGAAATGACTACATTTCTCAGATTTAAAGGAATAAAGCCATACCTAACACCTCTCTCCAGCTGGCGTGACTGAACCTGGGTGTGAAAAAGCGTCAGCATTTTAAAAGTCATCATTCTCTTGTCACTTTTCTAGATTCTTTCCAGCATTTGGACTTCCTGTGCAATTGATATCTTTCAACAGGGAATATTAAAATATACTGATAAATTAATAGGGATTTAATTTTTTTTATCTGTACATTGCAAGTTTCAACACTGTCATTTAGACAGCCAAATGTTTTGCATTATATTCTCTTGAGAGAACTCTTAATGGGGTGAATAATGTGAACAATTAAACATTACTTTTAAAATTTTGCAATGAACCACAGAAGTAAAAGTGCAACCAACTCATAGTTCATGAAAAACTGAGCTACTTTTTTGTGCTATGCTTCACAGAGATTTTGATACATGTGCATATAAGTAATTGATGCAATATTTTTGCCCAGGTGTTTGTGTATATTGAGAATATTTGAATTGAGTTAGATTTCTCTTTCATGACAAAATGTATTTCAGTGAGCTAAAATTAATTGCAAGTATAGTTGATAACGGTGAAAATATATAAAAATGTGACTTTAGTGTTTTTTGTTCTTTTTTATCCAAAGACTTTTGAAATATTAGAACAGCAAGCAGAAGAGTGCCATAGGTAATCAAGTCAAAATATACTATTGGCTGGAGGTAGGGCTCAGTGGTAGAGTACATGGTCAGTATATGCAAAGCCCTGAGTTCAGTATCCTGCCCAGGGAGTGGGGTAAATATGTATGTGTACACGCACTGTAATATACTCATTTTTTAAAATGGAGTTAATTGACATGTTTTCTTCGTGGTTAAATAGAATCAACTAATACAGTAAAAACTAATTTTGGAAAGCATTCTTTCAGTGTTAAAGAATCCACGTTGAGTGAAGGAAGGGGAGATTCTGGTTAATCTGAATCTCTTTTATTGCTTTTTTTTTACTGGAGAAAAAATCTTTTGGCATACAGTTTTTTCTTTAAGTCTTTTTTTCATTTTTGTTTTTCTAACACACTGGCAAAATCTATAGGATTTTATCATCATTTTCTAGAATTATTATCAGAATGGTATGTGTTTGTGTATAGTATCATGTTTTGTTCTTAAAAATGATTATCTTTAAAGCAAGAAGTTTACTTTTCTAAAAGGAGAGAAGGATTTCTGGCAGCTCTAGGCATAAAATATTTCCTTCACTTTTCTGCCTGTTTTAGTTTTTAGAAATCTTCAGACGACTTATTTGATCTCTGCCTTTGGCTAAATGTTGGTATCTGAATGCAGCAGTGGTGTTCAGGGAGATGGAAGATAGAAGAAACCCAAGGGACGTGGTCTAAAGTGGATTTCTGAATCCAAGAAAGGACATGGATATTTATAAAACAGGCAGATATGTTTCAGTTTTCCATCCTGATGTTAGAAATCCCTTGCCCTTTTAAAATAAAAACCAACATTTGTTTGATTTTAGGTTCAGTTAAAATCAGTTTGATTTTAACCTCAAATGTCTTCTCTTTAAACTTTTTTTTATTTTAAGTGACTATTATATAAACATTCAAGCATCAGATTCTCAGTTCTTCTCAAAAGCTTACTGGCCCTTTATATTTAGTGTTAGCAGATTTGATTCTAAGCTATTTCAGAATTTAGAACTCATACTGAAATTGCAAGTTAGGTTTAGGAATGACTTTGTTGAATTGCTGTTTCACGTGGAAAACCTTTACTGCTGGATTCTGAAAAATAGTTTTTATCATACATATTTCATATTTGTTAAAATGGTACAGATGTAAAAAAAATTACCTTTTTTAATATCTGCTAGAGAATGTAACCTATTCAGATTTGCAGTTTGCTTATGAATTTTTTGTTCAGTAAATATGGGAATCTTAAAGACTTATATAGAAAATTGATGTTAAATCAATGGATTTTACTTTCTTAAGATCAAAGGAGCTGGGCCTTTTTAATTTTTTGCTCTGATAGGTGTTCATTTTGTAAAAAGAAAATACCTATTTAAATTTTTTGGTAATGGCTAACCAATGTGGTTTTGTTTGTTTGCTTGTTTTGGTACTGGGGGCTGAACCAAGGGGTGCTTAACCACTGAGCCACATCTCTAGCCCTTTATATATTTTATTTAGAGAGAGGGTCTCACTAAGTTGCTTAAGGCTTCTCTAAGTTGTTGAGGCTGGCTGCAAAGACAGTTCTTTTAATAAGATCTTTTTTAAGTAGATATTTTCATTGTTTTCCTAGTTCCAAATTTGGATTTTATTAGACAGTGTTTTTAAGCATTAGAATATCTGTTAATATCTGAGTCCAACAAAAGTGGAAGCAAAGTAGATCAGTAATTTTTAAGAAAAATAAAAAGTGTCCTTCCCCACCTGATGCTTTTTTAATAGCAGTTATCTTTCCAGTTTTTCTTGTCTTCAGGGAAACCTAAGATTTCTTCCAGGTATCAGCTCTTTTATTCTCACATTCATTTTCTGTACTGCCGTTTGTTCATTTTGGTTTTTGTTTTGTTGTATGTGCATGTATTGGGTGAGGGGGGACAATAGGTTCATAGTTCCAGTCTTCAGTGGTGTGATTACTTTCTGCATGATATTTTGGGAGTTTATCAATGAAGCATTTAATAACATTTAGTTTAAATACCAAACCAACTAGTTCAGAATGAGAAAACAGTATATTTTTAGACTCAAATACTTTGAATAGCTCATTTCACTTAATATGGTATAAGACTAGTATCAGAGGACTTATTTAAAGTTTATATCAGAGGAATCCTTTTAGAGATTGTATTGGAAATTATTTCATAGTAAATTTTAAAATAAGATTATACTGTTTTATTTGTAAATGAGTTATATGTTTTAATGCAGTGATTTCAATGAAGATGTGTTTTTTCCTTATAGACATAAAAAACAATTATAAGTGAACCTAGTGCTCCACTTTAGTAAGAACATTATCTTATACCAGAATTGATAATTGAATTTTTAAATTTATTCTTTTATTTTTTATAGTGGGGTTAATTTTTATTTATTTATTTATTTTTTGAGTTGTAGATGGACACAATACCTTTATTTTATTTATTTTTATGTGGTGCTGAGGATCAAACCCAGTTCCTCGTGCATGCCAGGCAAGCACTCTATTGCTGAGCCACATCCCCAGCCCAATAGTGGGGTTCATTTTGACATAATCATAAATGCATGTAACATGGCTTGAGCATTCTCATTCAGTCCACAGAACCTCCCCTTTTCCTCTCCTCCCTCCCCCTTGATTCCCTTCCTCTACTCTACTTGTCTTCCATCTATTTATTATTTTTTACATTGGTCATTATAGTTAATACATAAAAGTGGAATTCATTATGATGTACTCATAGATGCAATATAGGATAAGTTGATCAATTTTGTTCTGCATTTGCTCCCTTTACTCATTCCTCCTCCCTTCCCCTGGATCTACTCCACTGTTCTACTTTTTGTTTTCCTGATATCCTGCTCTCTCCCCACCATTTTTTCTTTAATTTCTCTCTAGCTTCCATGAATATTTGAATTTTTCATGATCCTGTTGACTCTTACCCAGAATTCTATCTTGGTAAGAGTTTTGGAAAAGGTTTACTTTAAGCCTTATTGCTTGATAAATTCTTTTTTAAGTCTTTTATAATGACTTTTCATTTGTACTTGAATAATGTATCTCATTATTTCAAAACTTGGGAAAACTTGAATTTTCATACCACAAATGCATTGTCTATCTCTTTGAAATTGAAAATTCAAGTGACACAGGCTTCCAGATGGTAGAATGATTTTGGAAAGAGTTTACTCAGCTTTTTAGGTTTATTTGAAAATTTTACACAGTGACTTTGTAGGAAATATCTTAATTTCATTGACTTTGTGTTTCTGTATCATAACAGATTTGTGAAATAAATTATTGACAAACCAGAATTTATTGTTATATGAGCAGATTTTGGAAGGCTTAAGGATGGGAGAAGTGGGGTACTGTGACCTTTTTAAAAAGTGTTCATAAGTCTTTTTGTGATTTTATTTTTGCATAATTTGTCTATTTCAGGTTGAGGAAAACTAAATATTTATTAAATGCATATTGTAATTATTTTCCAGATCCTAGAAATACTGTAGATTCTTCTTATGGCTATAAATGAGTCATTTGACCTTTCATAGTTTGAGTGACAAGGGGCATCATGATAGGATTAAAAAGTTAAATTTGAAAATCTATGTTTATCTTACTGTTTAGTTCATTAAGCTTAGTAAGTAAGCACTTAATTTCTTCCTGAAAAGAAACTAATGGTCCTTTAATACCTTATAGGATTACTTACTTAGAGGATTAAATTCAGATAATGAATATAAAAGTACTTTGAAAATTGTAAAGTGATTTGCAGATAAAACTGATTACTGCTATTTGTATCTGCCATGCTTTTACAAGTAAGGACATAATAGCTATATGTCATGATGACCTTTCCCACATTAAAATCTTTGAACCTCAATGGTAAATCGTACTCAATGCTATTTAGCAATTTCCAGACCTGAAAAAAGAGACAAAAATAAAATTCTCATCTTTTAAAAATGATAATAGCCTTAAATTCAACATATTGTTACTAGACTCCTCATCCAGAGACCTGACGGCAAACCGGGGTTCCAACAAACCAGGTTCAGTCACTATAAACACCAAACAGAAAAGGTAATGATGAAAAGCAGGAAAACAAATGTGAATCAGTATGGCTCTATGGGGAAGGCAAGTGAGATCCAGCATCTCAGCCCTGACTTCTAGATGCTGATAAGGGCTTTAGGTTCAAATCAAAGAAGAATTGGGACAGGGCAGATTAATGCATAATTAAGCAGTCTTGGTCAGATGGTGGTCTGGTTATCATTCTCTCAGTTCTGGTTCTGTGAGTGGCTCCAGAGAAGTTCTTTGTCACTTGAGGGGAGTAATTTCCAACTGTTGCTCAGGATGTTTACTTCTCAGACCTGTGTTCCTGGAAGAAGGCAATGACTTGAGACTTTTAGGCACCATTCCAAGAGTCTGATGCAGCAAAAGCTGACAGTCAGATGTTCTTGCAATTCTTGTCTTGGTCTTGACAGGTTAGGTAAATTTGGAACTAATAAACCTTGTATTACCGATTTTTAAATGAACATTCCTTAGATGATTAGCATGTCTATGTGCAGAGCTGACAAGAATCTGAAGACAAATACAAAATGAAGACATAGATGCCAAGCTTAATCCTGCTTTAATTACCCATTGGTCACTAGCAGGCCTAAGTAAAGAGTCAGTGCTTTTAGCAGAAGTGGTATCTCTTAAGTTACTGTTAAACACAGTACTATGCAAGAGGCAGTGGCTTTTAGGGAAAGTTTAAGAAGCAGTCCAGAAATACTTATCCAGTAAACTCTGCTGTGTGCCAGGCAGTATCACTAGCCTCAGAGAGGGATGTAAAGAAGTGCCATTGTTTTCTTGTAGAACTTTATACTCTCCAAATGTTCTATGTGGAAAAATTCTATGATTATCTGTCTCCCAAGAAGCCTCACAGAGTGATTTTATCTGGTGGAATTCATGAAAGCCTCCTGTTGGGACACACAATAGGTCCTGATTCTTAGGGTGAGTTCACATGGTGCTGACATGTAAAATCATTATGTCACTTTATTATTTCAAAATTAGAAATAAATGCTAGCAATAGGGAGCATTCTTTCCATGATGGTGGATCTTTTGGGGAAGCCAAACCATATGCAGATGAGGAGAAAATCTCAGAAAGTGATTCTGTAATGTGTTACTGGTATTAGACTAAGGCCAAAGACCAGTCTCTACATTTAGGAAAACCTTATCATTTGGATCATGTTAAAAGTTGAAATCATCTTTGCTTCCAGTAATGATCAACCTGCTTTCTAATTGACATACTATTTTTTAAATTCAGTTACTTCTTTTGTCACATTTTAGTCAAATTCCTTGGAACTCTGAGTAGTCTTGCTAACCTGCAACTCATTCTTTTCTCTTTAACTCGTTATACCCTATCATCTTATATAGAACTTGTGACTTAATGATTAAGATTATTTTATATCACAGGTCTTATCTTTTACCATAAAACATACTCATTTTATGTTTGATAATTATTCAAAGGGCAGACTTAATCTCTTTATGTTTAGGAGAACAGCTCATTTTGGTTTTTATGTAGTGCCTACTTAGAAAAGTAAGATATATGAAAATATCCACAAAAATTAGGTAAGTCAGATAATTAGGGTTGAGACATTAAATATATAGAAGTCAGATCGTGTCTAGCAAAGGGGGGATATAGGAGCAGTTAAATGGAAAGGACCTTAGAATAATCTTTTAGTTTCATTCTGTCATTGTGTAGACAGGAAACCAGCCCAGTGGGCACACATCTGTTTATGATAAAACTCAGACTTCTGCTTCTAATTCATTGCTTTTTTTCTAGTATACCATGTTACTTTTGCAGAGGAGTTGGAATTTGGCTTCACTCAGCTATGCCCTGGGATATGCACAAGTATGTGTATGTGTATAGTTCTAGGCATAGGTAGCATAAACAACAAAATAAATGTTTCCTGAGGCTCATTAGTGTTTCAGGAGATTTTCATAAACCTTATCAAATTAAATCTACCAATACTGTATAAGCTAGTGACTATTAGTGGTCCCATTGTATAGATAAGGAAACTGAGATTCAGAGTCACATAGCTTGTAAGCAAAAGTTATGGAATTTTAACCCAGGTCTTTCTGATTCTAAAGCCTAAATTCTTACCTCAGTAATTCTCACAGGAACCTCCTAATTAGTTATTTTTAATTTTCCTGATTATGTGTGAGGAAACAGGCTTAGAGAGGGTAAGATGCTCCCAAGGTTACACAAATAGTAAGGGAGTGTTAAGATTCAAATCCAATTCTTTGACTCTAAGGTCTGTGTATTTTAGCAATGGATAAGCCAACTCATGGGCTTGAAATATAAATTTCCTGCTAAAATATGGCAGATTGAGTGTGCATATTTATTTCTGTTAACTCCACCATAAGAATAGAACACCAAAGGTATAATGCATATGGCAGATGACTAATGTCAGTAAAATTTTGAAATATAGAAACCCAGTGGACAAGTGGTAACTGACTCCACATAATCAGGAAACCTGAATCCTGAAGTCAAGATGTGGGGAAGGGCCAAAAAAAAGAAAAAAAGCATGCTTATTTGTCCATGGAACCAGTAACTAATTTGGAATTAGATTCTTAGGATGCCCCTTCAAGCATAGGGTAATATGAAGCTGAAGACAGAATTGATAGAATTTTATATAAGGAACGTTTAGACACTATTACCCCTACACCTGTGCCCCACCTACCCTGATTCTCATCCTAAGCTGGCCCAAATAAGCAACTGATTTTTACCATCCCAGCAAAAGACAGGAGAAATTGAACCAGACACTCCAGATGCCAGTCATAGCTGAAGATAGCACAAAGATATCTTGTTGAAAACCTCATTAAGATAAAAATTTTTATGAGAAGCCAGGCGCAATGGTGCACACCTATAATCTCAGTGATTTGGAGGACTGATATAGGAGAATCAGGAAAAAATTTTTTTTTTAATATTTTATTTTTTTTATTTTTTAGTTCTCGGTGGACACAACATCTTTGTTTGTATGTGGTGCTGAGGATCGAACCCGGGCCGCACGCATGCCAGGCGAGCGCGCTACCACTTGAGCCACATCCCCAGCCCTAGGAAAAAATTTGAAGTCAGCTTTAAATTAGAGAAACCCCATCTCAAAATAAAAAGGATGGGGGATGTAACTCAATGGTAAAATGTCCCAGAGTTCAATCTCTACCCCCACTCCCATCCCCAATGGTTAAGTCTATGTGTGAAATAATTACTTCCTGTCCAACTACACTCTCACACTTAAAGAAAAAAGGCAAATGAATTTTAGCAGAAGAAAAAAGAAACCAGGGAGGAAACCTGGGCTAGAACATAACATACTGCTGAAGTAGGAAATGAAGGCACAGTAGCACTAAGCACCTATGGCTCTTTATAGAGAAGTTTCCTGTTCGTCATTTCATTTCATCCTTCCAGAAAGATAGACAAAGTCAATATTTTTGCCCTTTTGTAATCTCGTCAACATTTTTCAGTCTCAAAGAACTTTTTGGTAAGAATCCACTATATCATCTGCCTCGTGTGAATCTTCTCCGATTTTTTTAAAGGTGTGTATGTTTTGCCAGGAATCTTGTGTTAGGCAAGTGCTCTATTACTGAGCTATGTCCCCAGCCCCTTAGTTTTAATTTTACCAAGGAAGATAGCAAATACATATTTTTTTCTCCCTCCCTCCTTCCCTCCCTCCCCGTCTCTCTCCTTCTGTACCCACCCCCCTTCTCTCTCTGTTTCCTGGTACTGGAGATTAAAACCAGGTATACTTTACTACTGAGCTACACTCTTAGCCCTTTTTACATTTTTTTAATTTTGAGACAAAAATCTCACTTGGTTGCTAAGGGTTACCTTTTCAGTGCTCTTACCTCAACTTCCCAAATCGCTGGGATTGCAGGCATGTGCCTCTGTCCTCAGCTGTATTCTTCTTTCATATCATGAGAAGGAATGCATGAAAACACATATATTACATATATGTGTGAATGTAATACATTCATATTTATGCATATGAGTATATGTGTTTACCATGCTGGTGCTTAAGTATATCTAATACAAGACCCAGCATTACGAGATCATGAGAGGAATGCGTAGTACTGTCTGAAGTTCATAGGTAAGGAGGTACATGTTAGATGGATTTCCTTCCAAGACAGTGTATAAGATGGACGAGGATGTGAGTAGAGTAGGATTTGTTTCTTTGGTTCCTTTCCTCAGCCTTCCCATTCTTTGCATGAGATTGACATGGACTGTCCAACTGGACAGGATTAAAGGAACCCAAAGGATCAATAGAGAAAGAACATAATAAAGTGATCTACAACTTATTAAATGATGGGACATGAAAAAAAAAACAAAACCTTTACAAAGCAAGAAACATAGCTTTAGGTTGAATAATCATGATTATAGTCATTTAAGGTCTTCTTACAAAGAGATTATGTTGGCTTTGCCTCAAATGTGAAAATAATAGTCTTTCCAAAATAAAACTTCAAATTTTGTGTCTACAGTTTTTAACAACAGTGAAGTGAATTGAGTTGGTAAGACAGAATTTTGGGGAGAAAGCATTTAGACGACATGATATATTTCTGAAATTTTTCCAGAAAAAGTAAGGAAATCCCCATTGCTAAAGCCATTTATGTATAGCTAGGAACCCTCTTCCCCACAAGAGAAAAGTAAGAAGGCCATTTGTGGCCTCTGGGGAACAAAATCTGACCCAAGCCTTTTTCATTTTTAAAGGTTTCCCTTCTTCATGACATGATATTTGTAGGAATTGAAACCATTCCACTAAATGTTAACATCATTTTATTGAGGATGTGTGTTGTGGCCTGTAGAGCACTGGAAATAAAACCAAATTTAGACCCTGCTTCTGATAATTAATTAGATAATCTGTCTGAACTTCAGAATGATCCTCATCTTTGAATGAAGGTGACACTATCATACTAGTCTCTTCAAGATGAGGTGCATGTTACATTAATAAATTAATCTTAAAATTGTTCATGTGGTTACTGCATATTCTTATATCATCATTTCTCTTATTTCTGTCCCTCCGAAAGGGGAAGATAGTGAAAAGAAGCATGGACTTTTAGAATTTGAGTGCTTGATTTTCTATTCTATAAAATAGGATAACAACATTTCATTAAAATTATTGTGAAAAGTAGATACTGTCATATCTTAAGTATGTAGGATTGTGCTTGGTGGCATGGTCAAAACTCAGTAAAAGATTGTTCCTAGTGTTTTTTTTTTTTTTTTTCCCAGAGTTCAGTATGTCCTAGTGACTTTTGGCACTGCAAAATTTGGCACAGACCCCCAGAAGAAAGCCCCATTGTAAAAGTGGAGCAGCCTGTTGTGCTTCCTTATCTCAGGGATTATAAATCCCTCAAGTTTGTCCTGTGTTGATGATTTGCTCCAGTTCATACTGATGTTTTATGTTTTTTGTCCTGCTTTCAGAAAATGCTTTCCAAAAAGGTGGTGCTATACGATTCGTGGACATTAAGATTCACATACAATATTTAGTTGTACTTCATCAAAAAACATTGGGGTTTACAGTGAGACCTTTAATATTTCAGAGATAGAAAGGAAATTTGAGGCCAAAGTGCTAAAAAGGTATTGATTTAATGTAATTGATCTCAGGAGGAAATTAAAGTTTTGGTTTTTAAGCTTCAAAGGTTTCATGAAAGGGAGCTTTTTGTTTGTTTGTTTTGTAGGACTGGGGACTGAACCAAGGACCTTGCACATGCTGGGCATGAATTCTACCACTGAGTAACATCCCCATCATAAGAGGGGCCATTTATATACTTAAGGAATAAAGACACTGCGTTATGTAGTGATTTAAAGTGTATGCTTGAGATGGGAACAGATCTGGGTTTGAATCTTAGCCCTGCCACTTAATAGCTGTGAGAGTTGGGGTAAAGTACACAATTGCTGTTAGTCTCAGTTGTCTTAACTAATAACACTAATAACATTCAAGTATTGTGAGCATTAATTGAGCTAATGCATGTAAAACTCAACATGGTACATCGTACACAGTAAGCATTCAATACATGTTAGCTCGTGCAGCTGTCTTCCTTGTGAATAGGGTAAAGGAGTAGAGGATTCAAATTGAGGTCATAGTGAAGAATAAAGTCAGAAACAAACTGATCAAAGCCTGAAATAAGTGACTAACAGATTTGGATCTAATAGGAATTAGAGGTAAACTTATGATTTTTGCTTAGGTAATGGGACAGAGCTAAAAGATCCCTTAGGGGCCATACCCAGCGTAGTGATAAAGTTAGTTGCACAGCTGGGATTGGAATCCAGGATTAGATCTCCCTTAGATTCGGTAATGCCACACAAATAAGTCAAAAAAGTTGTTCAACATTTGTCTGGCTCTTAGAAACAGGCGTTTCCAGCTGATTTAGAAAGAAGGGAAACAAATGTTAGGTTTGGAGTTCAGTAAAATAAAAATAGTCTTTCCATTGGTGCTGTCCATCAAAAAAATTAAAATTTGACATTGTGTTCATTTTTTAGCTAAAACGTTCTCTTGATTACTGGTAACAACCTCAGAAATGTTTGTTAGAGGAAATAAATGAAATTGATGGTCTAGAATGTCTTCATTGATGTGTGTAATGTGTGTACTGCTAGTGAGATTGAAGAGCAGAGATTTTGCTTAAGTGAAATTGAAGATCACAGTTTATTCAGTAACATTTAAAGTTTTTGTTTTCCAAGAATTTTAAGTAGAAGAATATAAGAATTTAATCCTAGGAGGGCCCTTTAATACATAGATCCTAGTTCTTTGACTGAATGATTTCCTGTGTGATAAGTTTTAAGTTTTTAGATTGATAGAAAAAGATCTAGTTTGCTTAATAATTTATATATTAATGATAAAATAATATAGATTTAAATATTTGTTTCTCAAGATTAATTCTTCATTAGAAAAGTTAAAATCTTAAACCGATTTTTTTTATTCCTTTGGGCTCCAGAAAATATAATTTTTACCTGAAAGCTATATAAAAACATATAACTAAAATAAACATTGATTTTCAGAATATATACCTTTCATCTGGAATATGTATATGAATACAAACCTTGTACAGAATTATGAATGCAGTTCTGCAATTTGCTGATAGAAATATTTTGGAACCACTGTCTTTAAAACATACATTCCTATTTAATTTTTTAATTGATTTTATTATTTTTTTTAAATACATGACAACAGTGGAATGCATTACAATCCTTATTACACATATGGAGCACAATTTTTCGTATCTCTATATATAAAGTATGTTCACATCAATTATGTAATTTAATTTTTAAAAATATTTTAAGAGCAGGAAACTTCCATAGAGTTGTAATTATGTTTTAATAAGTCTAGCTATTTTTAAGGGGCTGTTTATTTTTGCTTCTCAATAGGCACACTTAATCTGACTTTAAACTTATTAATTTCAGAAGAAACTGACTTTTTGAAACAAAGAAGAAAACATTGATAAACATTTTTAGAATCATAATTAATTAGGTTATGTGGAAATATAGCTTAAAGAATGTGATACTTGATTCTGTGTGTGGGTAGTATGCATAATGAGTACTGTATATTAGTTGTGGGTGATTTTAAGGATATTTTTATTCATGATACATGATGCTTTATACAGCCCTCAAACGAATAAGTCAAATAATACAGTGTTAAGCTGTATTAATAAGCAGTTTACTCAGTATCATAAATAATAAAGTTGAATGAAGTACTTTAAATTATCAGAATCATTTGTTTGGAATATGATTTTGTGCATAGAAATTCTGTTCCTTCTGATTTGGCTGACTCATAAATTCCACCCCCCATCCTCCCACCCCAGCCCCCATCACCATCACCTTTTTTACTCAGTGGCACCGTGTGTGTTCACTTTTGTCATTGAACACACATGACAATCTTGAGTATTTCCTGCCTGTTGGGCCTCCCTATGATGGGTTGCTGTGAAGGACAATCAGTAATAGTCACTTAGGAAAAGTTAGGCCTTGCAGTTAGCCTTGTCTATACATGATTTGGAATAGTTCTGTGAAACATTGAATAATTTTCCTGTGGGAAACTTGAGCCCTAAAAGGAAATGAACGTAGCTAAAGGGCTGCATATCACTTGGGATTTGGACTTATTTTTAGAAGGGCAGTATACTGCCATATTTGGACTAAAATAATGTAATAGAAGTACATTATTTTATTAAATAGCCATCTTTTCTGAAGAAGTCAGTTACTTTTCTATTACATTTTATGCCATAGAGTCAACATAATACTTAAGTAACCATTCAGCTAATATAGTTTTAAATTATAAAATTTAGAGATGCTGTTTTGCAAATGTTTCTAGAACAGGCTTATCAAGTCTGGCTTCTGCAGTAAAGGTTCTGTGATAGTTCATTAATGACAATACATGGTTGCCTTTTGTTTTGCATGTTTGGGATAAATTGTTTACTGGGGGAAGTAAAGAAAGGGTAGAGATGTTTGGAGTTGCAAAATTATTTGATAGTCTTTTAATTAATTTTTTAAATTTATATATGACAGCAGAATGCATTACAATTCTTATTACACATATAGAGCACAATTTTTCTCATCTGTGGTTGTATACAAAGTATATTCACACCAATTCGTGTCTTCATACGTGTACTTTGGATAATGATATCCATCACATTCCACTATCCTTGCTAATCCCCTGCCCACTCCCTTTCGCTCCCACCCCTCCGCTCCATCTAAGATTCATCTATTTCTCCCATGCTCCCCCTCCCTACCCAACTATGAGTCAGCATCCTTATATCAGAGAAAACATTCGGCATTTGGGTTTTTTGGGGGGATATTGGCTAACTTCTCTTAGCATTGTCTTCTCTAATTCCATCCAAATGCCATGATTTTATTCTCTTTTTATTGCTGAGTAATATTCCATTGTGTATATATGCCACATTTTTTAATCCATTCATCTACTGAAGGACATCTGGGTTAGTTCCACAGTTTAGGTGTTGTGAATTATGCTGCTATAAACATTGATGTAGCTGTGTCCCTTATAGTATGCTGTTTTTCAGTCCTTTGGGTATAGACGGAGGAGAGGGATAGCTGGTTCAAATGGTGGTTCCATTTCCAATTTTCCAAGAAATCTCCATACTGCTTTCCACATTGGCTGCACCAATTTGCAGTCCCACCAGCAGTATATGAGTGTACCTTCCCCCCACCCGCATCCTCACCCACTTATTGTTGTTTGTATTCTTAATAGCTGCCATTCTAACTGGAATGAGATGAAATCTTTTTGCTAGCAATGTCTTGATATAGAAGAACTTCCTAAATCACAGTAATAATGTGGAAACCCAAGTGGATTTTACCTCTGACAAATGATCTACCAAAAAAAAGAAAAAAAGGTTAATTAGCAAAAGTATTTCATATTGAGCTCTACAGTGTGTTTGGATTAGTATGATTTATAAGCTAAAAAGACAAAAACATTTCTTACTGTATTATATTTATAAGTGTCAGGTTTTTTGCTACTGGGTTTATCTTCTTTAAAATTTCACATGATTATAATAAAATATAATGTTGATAATATATAATAGATTTCAGAATTACTTACTGTGATTATAGATTCCCCCACAGGGCACTAAATCCCAAACAGGAAAACCTGCCAAATACACATTTTGTCCCTTGGCATCTCTCCCAAATTGGAAATGGGCCAGCATCATAAATCTCAAATCTTGTGGGAAAGAGTTACCACTGATGTATCAGGCCTTATGCCACCTACTTTCTGTGCCATATTTCTTTTGCTTCTGATAAGCCAGGGGAAATTGCATAGATTTTATGGATAGAAAAGGTTCAGATTAGTAAGTGACTTGCCCAGACTCATGCAGATTAGTAAGCAGAAGAGGCGGTTTTTAGATAGAAGTGCCTAACCCCAGAGAGTGTGTCCTATACATGACATTGTGAGCAAGGAGAGCATCTGTATTCCATTTTCTTCATTCCTTGTCTGTGTCCACTATGCACACATTGTGGCCAGCTTTTGAATTGCCTTTAAGTTACCCATGTTCAGGTAAATATTATTCCAGTCTGGTCTGTGTTTGATGTATTGAAGCTTTGGAGTTTTGAATCCTTCTGCATCAGCCTCTCAAGTTACTGGGATCACAGGCTTGTGCCACTACACCCAACAAAAATACTAATTTTTAAAAATCTGAAATCATTGGGCTGGGGATATGGCACTAGCCTGTCATACGCGGGTCACTGGGTTCGATCCTTAGCACCACATAAAAATAAAATAAAGATGTTGTGTCCACCGAAAACTAAAAAATAAATATTAAAAAAATTCTCTCTCTCTCTCTCTCTCTCTCTCTCTTTAGAAAAAAAATCTGAAATCATTAAGATACATGTGAAGGATACCTGATATTTAGAAGAAATAGCCTTTTCTCCCCTGTAACATACAGAAGAGCAGAGCCATTCATTGAGATTTGACATTTTTTTTTTTTTTATATTTAAGAACATCATATATGTCTCTATCTACATGTTATTAGAGACGGGTCTTAGTTTTTCTCCTTTTTGATAAACATTGGACAGCCTTCATCCAAGGAAGCACTTCGTATGATTAAAAAGAAAAGGCCTATTTTCTTTCCTTCCTTCTTTCTTTCAAACCCAGGGGCAGTTGGCTTAGGCTTTTTTTTTTTTTTTTAAGACAATATCTCATTAAATTGCTGAGGCTGGCCTGAAACCTGGGGTCCTCCTGCCTTATCCTCCATGTAGCTGAGACTGCAGGCGTGCACCACCATGCCCAGCCAAAAAGCCCATTTTCAAAGTTTGTTTTATGTAGACTTTTTTTTTATTAGTTGCGCAAAACATTACAATGATCTTGACATATCATGTATCATACATTGGATTCAAATAGGGTATGAATTCTTATTTTACTTTTTTTTTTTAAAGAGAGAGAGAATCTTTTTTGTAGATGGACACAACACAATGCTTTTATTTTTATGTGGTGCTGAGAATCGAACCTGGGTCCGCCCGTGCTAGGTGAGTGCTCTACCCCTGAGCCACAATCCCAGCCCTATGTAGATTTTAATTAGAAGAATTTAGAAGAAAAAACATACATTATCTACTGGTGAATTTAAATGCTACTTACAGTTCAAAAAGTGAAGGGAATAGTTTCATTTTTATAATATATTTATTTGGGGTAAGAATATGAGCTAGATTTAGATGCGTCAAGTCTGTGAAAATGCATTTGTCAATAAGAAATTACTTGTAAGTAAGTGACTCTGAATCCTATTGTCTGTTCTATATCCCCTTGAAAATTAATATTCAACAAGTATTTGTTGAATGCCTCCTGTATGTTACGTGTTTTTTTTTTCTTCCTGAGTTGGAGATAAAAAAACAAATCTTGACCCTAATGAAGCTTAACATGCTAGTAGATTTGTTAAAAGCGCTGAATACTCTGCTAAGAAAATTGCACACAAAACTTTGCATACAGTATCAAAGAATTTACGGTAGCCACAAGTCTGTTCATGAAATCCCAGGCTGATCACACTGTATATAACTTCTTTTTATTGTGTCATAATTCTTATGTGACATTTCTTAAAGAAGAGTATAGTGTTTGATTTTAGAAGGCAAATCAATTATTACAATTTTTTTATCCCTTTTTTTTTGGCTCTATAAAATTAGAAATACTATTAGATGTAATGTGACCTGTTGAAATAAAATTTCCAGATTTTGCAGATTTTTTAGGACCATCTTGGTCTTCCCAAAACAGGTACATCTGTTTTCATAGGTTTAACAGTCTTGTTCTTTATTTTGTTCTCTAAATCAGTTTTACTTCTAAACATGAATTGAAATTACACTTAATAAAACTTGGTCTTCAAATCATTTTTAACAAGTTGTTGCTGAATTTTTATTTTTTTTTTAATTCTGATTTGTTATACATGATGGCAGAATGCAATTCATTTCATATTACACATATAGAGCACAATTTTTCAAGACACTGATTGTACACAAAGTATTTTCACACCATTTGTGTCTTATACATGTACTTAGGGTAATGATGTCTAACTTAAAACGAAGATGTATCCAATGAATTGTTGTTTTATTCCTGCAGAATATATTATAAAAGCTATGTGTGGTGGGACACATTAGTGATCACTAGCTACCCTGTAGGCTGAGGCAATAGGATCATAATTTTGAGGCCATCCTGGGCAATTTAGGGAAACCTTGTCTCAAAGTAAAAGATGTAAAAGGCTGCGGATGTTGTTCAGTGGTAAAAGGCTTACCCAGCATGCACAGTAGTAGTAGATTTGCTTTTATTTGGGTTAAGAATATGGACTTGAATATGGGTAAGAATTCGGGTTTGATCCCTAATACCTTACACACACACACACACTCACAAGCACACAGTAAAGATAGGTATGTTATAATGTATTGGAGTGGGGTTTTGGTGGGGGGTTGGTTTTATTTTGTTTTGTTCAGTATTACAAGATGACTTTTAATAAAGCATCTATAGATACTAATACATTCTGGATTAGTCTTAAGAAGAATTTTTCTTTGGGCAACAAGCAACTTAGAAAATATAATCTTTCCTGTGCTGGTTATTTCTCATGGCAGCTGTCCACTGCATTTTCTTTGTTTGGGTACTTTCTTTTTCTTCCTGCCTTTCTTATTAGCTTTCTATTTTTCAACTTGGGTTTACAAAGAGTATCTATTCAAAGGGTTTCCTCCAGTTCCCAATACCTTATAAATCCTGAGAAGTTACCCAGAGGGCCAATTCTCACAGTAAGGTATAAAAATAGTCATCCAGAAAGATTACAGAAGTGGTACCCCTGAGTTTTGAACTTGTGAATGAATAGCTTTTAAAAGCAGGATGAGAAGAGTAAAGCACAAATGTTATCATTTCCTTAGCTTTTTGTCTGCAAGAACTATTTTCAAAGAGCTTTAAAATTTAAGAAATTAACAAAGTCTCACCATTGCTTTATCACATAATACTAAGAGAACCATATTTGGGACCAAGAAAAAAGTCCCTTAGAAAATAAGAGATGGAGGTAAAGAGGATTGCTAATTCAAAAGTCCAGCCTCAGCAATTTAGCAAGGCCCTAAGAAACTCAGGGAGACGCTGTCTCAAAACAGAAAGGGCTAGGGATATAGCCAAGTGATAGTGCACCCTGTGGGTCCCCAGTAACCACATCCTAGGCAAACATGCTACTGCTGAGCCCCAGCCCCAGCCCCTCTTTTGATGACTTTGACAGTTTTTTATTTGTTTGTGTTTGGTACTGGGGATGGATTCAAGGTCATACAACACAATGTTTGACTTCACATATACTTCATCTTGATACTCATGACCAAAATGATCTTATTGGACTGTGCTTTAAGAAATTAAAATTATCTGACACAGGGGCTGGGGTTATGGCTCAGGGGTAGAGCGCTCACCTCGCACGTGCAAGGCCCTGGGTTCCATCCTCAGCACCACATATAAATAAATAAATTAAAGTTAATTGTGTCCAACTACCACTACTAAAAATAAATATTTAAAAATAAAATTATCTGACATAGTCATGCTGATAGAAGCAAAGAGAGAAGGTCATTGCTGTGGTCTGTATTGTTTATGCTCCCCTGAGTTTGTATGTTGAAACCTGATTACCAGTGTGATGGTAGGAGGAAAGGAGGCCTCAGAGAGGTGATTAAATCATAAGTTTGAATCCTCAGGAGTGGGATGATAAGTTTGTTAAAATTAATTAAACAAACAACAACACCAGAGATCCAGCTTGCTCCTTCTACCTTGTTAGGACATACAAAGAGTTAGGACACGCCAAGAAGGTGATATCTAAAGACCCAGAAAGGTGACCTTCAGCAGACATTAAATCTACCAGCATCTTGATCTTGGGCTTCCCAGGCTTCAAAACTCTGGGCAAAAACTTTGTTGTTTCAGTGACTTAGTTTATGGTATTTTGTTATATGAACAAAGGCATTCATTCAGGCTATCTACTATTCTCCATAAAAACACAGGCCTGGCCTTGGATGGTGCATTGGATGTGAATAGGAAGAGACAGAATCCATACTGTACTAATCTCTAGATCAGTGATCATTTATGGGAGCTGTTATCAGAAACCTGTAAAGTTCTGGGCCTGAATGACAGGTGCTAAAACTTTCTTTAGTAGAAATAGAGAAGTCTTAAGAAATATTGATGGCAACCAGTGGGGAATGAGATTGGTGTTTTTGTAAGCATAGTACAATTTACATACAATAAAACTGTATACTTCTTTTAAGTGTTCAGTTTGATTTGCTTTGACTGTTGTAAATGTCTGTGTAACTACCAGCCAAAGAAAGTATAAACATTTCTATTGTCTGAGATCATTTCCTCCTGTCTCTTTATAGCATCAGCACCCCAGGTAACCACTTTCTGATTTCTATCACCATAGACTTTTGCTAGACATAATGATTTTGAGATTCATCTATGTCATTACATGTATTAGAGGTTCATTTTGCTGCCAGGTAGTATTTCATAGTATGAATATATGATTTTATCTCTTTTTCTGTTGATGGACATTTGGGATTTCTAGTTTGGACTATTAGAAATAAAGTTATTAGGAGTTGAATATCTGGGTCAGCATAGATGTATATTTAATGTTATAAGAAACAGCCATGTAATTTACCAAAGTAGTCAAATCACTTTACATACACCCTTATCAGTGAGAGTTCTAGTTGTTTTATGTCCTCATCAATATTTGGTATTTTTTTTTTAATTTTTGTCAGTCAAATGTGTGTCATTGTATATGTTTACAGTTTCTGAGCTGTATATATAATTTATTTTGTTGCTTAAAATGTAAGGGAAAATATATCACTATAATTACAGAGTTTCATTTAAACCTTTACTACATTGCATATACAAGACTTTTGAAGAGTTGACTTTTGCAAGATGCAGCAAATATTTTTTAACATACATTACTACATGAAAAAAAGCAGGTGTTTAAAGGGGTATACATTTCAAATTATAGCAGGTTATTTGTGATAGTTTCTGGGCAAAATGTGTAAAATTAATCAACAGTAGCATGTAATTGCATTTAAAATCATGAGAAAAAAATCTCTCTGGTCATATTGCCCATGACAAATTACTGTGCTGTATAATTATATCAGGGGTTGGCAAATTGCTGCCTGGGGGCCAAATCTACCATATCCTTAGTTTATGTAAATAAATAAAATTTTATTAGAACATTGCAGCGCTCACTTATTTATATATTGTCTATGGCTGCTCTACAAAGGAACAGTTGAATACTTGCAACACTGAATGGCCTGCTCAGCCAAGAATTTTGTTGTTGCTTGTTCTACTGTTTATTTTAAAACAATATTTACTTGTTCTTTTTAGTTATACATACAGTAGAATGTACTTTGATGTATCATACATACATGGATTATAATTTCCCATTTCTGTGGTTGTACATGATGTAGAGTTCACTGGTCCTGTATTTCTATATGAAAATAGGAAGTTAATTCATTCTGTTGTTTTTTTTTTTATTCCTGTCCTCCCCCTCCCCTTTGTTTCCCTTTGTCTAATCCAGTGAATTTCTATTACCCACTCCCTGCCATTCCCCACCCCACTTTTTGTGAGTTAGCATCCGCATATCAGAGAGAACATTTGGCCTTTGGTTTTTTGGGATTGTCAGCCAAGAATTTTTGCTATCTGACCTTTTAAGTTCACAAGATATCAGTATTGTATAATCCTGTGGCATTTTTGTTTTCTTAAGGAGATGGAGGCTGTTTTTCTTGAGATAGATGAAACAGCCAAAACAAAACTAGTTGATGAAAAAAACACTTCTGTCATAATGTCCATAACTTATTGTCAGGACATATAACTTGACGATAGTTTTGCCTTTCATTCCTTGTTCTTTGAAAGTTTGCATTTACAGCAGGTTGAGAGGATGTATCTGCTTGACTTGATCAGTTTGCTCATGAATAGTATTATGCACCATGTATTATACCACAAGCTACATCTATGTTTTACTTCTTCGGAATGAAAAGAATATGTGTTCTTGAATCAGGTTTAATTTTATAAGCACTTAGTTAGAATGTTTTGCAAGAAATCTTTGTTGTGTTCTCTTAGGAAAGGGATCATCCTTAATGTTGGTGTGATTTGTTTTCAGAACCTTTTCAAATTTAATGATGTCATTATTCTGTTAGGAACTTACTAAATTTGTCATTGTTAGAATTTCTAGATCGTTTTTGTATGGCTTGACCTCTGGTAAGTCAAATGGATTTCTTCCAAATTCTTCAGTATATTTCCTAAGACCAAATATTTTAAGCAAATGGTTCACATGGAACTTCTTAGTTTATTATCATTCTTGAAGTCCTCAGAAATTCAGTATGTGAATTTTCAAACTGACCTTCTCTTGAGGGCATTTTACCCTTTCATTCTTCACTGGCTCCCATGATCAGTAGATAAGGGATGATTGATGAAAACTGAACAATTATAGAGTGTTTTCAATTTTTTAAATTTTTTTCCATCCTATGTGCATTTAAATTTCCAAATAATATTTTTTTCTAGTAATTATATCCTTTTTCAGATTGTCTTCTCTATCATTAGTCTGATAAAACTGATGCAACTGGTGTAAAAAAATCAAAGATTTTCATATTCCTATCACTTCTTTTCCTTTCAATTCTAAATTCCTTTCCATTAAGAATTTTCCTTAGAATTTCAAATGTTCAGATGGAGGTATAATTCAAGAATAGAGTTAATAAGCTTTGGCTTGGGGTAGAATTTAGTGGCACTTGCTTAGCATGAGTAAGATCCTGGGTTCCAGCACCCAAAAAAACAAAAGAATTAATAGACTTTTTCACAAAATTTCTTAAAACTTCATTTTGAATATAGATCAGTAATAATATATGTCTGGCCAGGCATGGTGGCACAGACCTATAATCCCAGCAGTTCGGTAGTCTGAGGCAAGAGGATTGCAAATTCATAGCCAGACTCAGCAACTTAGCAAGATCCTGTCTCAAAATAAAAAAGGTCTTGGGCAGGTGGTGTTCCTCAGTGGTAATGGGTTCAATCCCCAGTTCCAGAAAGAGAGAATATCAATTCTGGAAAGTTTTGCTGGTTAGAAATTCATATTAAGCATAGTTATTACTTTAAGCCTCCACTTTTTTTTCCAAGTTCCAGGCTTCTTCAGCGATTGCTTACTATCCCTTTGATGTTTTTTTTCTTTTTTTCTTTTTCATTATTTATTTTTCAGTTTTTGGAGGACCCAACTTTGTTTGTATGTGGTGCTGAGGATCGATCCCGGGCCGCACGCATGCCAGGCGAGCGCGCTACCGCTTGAGCCACATCCCCAGCCCCATGATGTTTTTTTTTCTACAACACTTTCAAATTAGAATTCTGATTTTCAGAAATCCCATAAGTATTCCAAGTAGTAGTCCTCCTCTCATCTTTGTATGAGCAATCATTCTCCCTTTGCAGACATCTTGTTTGGGTGTCTCACTGTGGTTTTAAATTAGCATTTCTCTACCTTTTCATTTATTTCATTTATTTATTTGTGTTTGTCTATTTTCTTCTGCAAAGTGTCAAGTGTGTCCTTTTTATTAAGTTGTCTTTCTCTTTCAGTTCTGTGTGTGTATAAATATATTGCTTGCTCTTCTCTTTTTAAAAATTATTTTTTAGTTGTAGATGGACACGATACCTTTATTTTATTTGTTTATTTTTATGTGGTGCTGAGTATAGAACCCAGTGTCTCACAGGTGTCTGGCAAGCACTCCACCACTGAACTACAACCCCAGCTCCGCTTTCTTCTCTTAATGGTATTTTTAAGCAGAAATTTTTAATTTTAAATGAATTCTAGTTCATTTATTCTCTTCATGATGCTAAGGGTAATGTAAACTCTTGGTCATGCTCTAGTTTAAAGATTCAAGCTAGTACTCATGGTTTGCTGTGGATTAGTTGTGATTTTTCCCACAAAGTTTTATGTGTTAGAACCTTGGTCCTCGTTGTAGTGATGTTAAGTATTGGTGGTATCTTTTAAGAGGTGAGGTCTAGTGGGAGATGGTTATGTCATTGGTGGTATTGCCCTAGGAGAAGATTAAGGTTGTCCTCATTGGACCCCAGATAGTTCCTGAGAGAGTGAATTGCTTCCTGTCTTGCCACATGATCTCTCTTCTATGTGCTCCCACCATGGTGCCTTTTGCCGCATGGTGACCCAGTCAAGTGACTCCTCACCAGAAACTGAACCCATAGTGGGTAGGTGTCTGATCTTGGACGTGCAGCCTCCAAAACTGTAAACCAAATAACCCCTTTCTTTCTAAAATATCTAGCCTCTGCTGTTTTGTTATATCAATGAAAAATGTACTAATATCTGGTCAGTCCATTGTTGTTTGTTTGATCTATTGGTAAATTAAAGATTTGTTAAACATAAAAATTTTTTTATTCACTACCGTGTAATATATGCTCATGCCCATGATTTTATCTGTGTTCTGTTTTACATTGTATGTTCAATTTGTTTTATTTGTTTATTTTTTGTTTTATTTGAACCCAGTCCCTCACATTCAAGACAAGTGCTCTACCACTGAGCCCCAACCATAGCCCGTGTATGTTCACTTTAAAACTGAGTTTATTACTCCATTATCAGATATATATATTTTATAGGTATTTCATCCTGGTCTGTGGCTTACGGTTTCATGTTATTAACAGTGGCTTTTTGAATAGTGAGATAGTGAGATTTAAAAATTTTTGATGAAGTGCCCAGTTTATCTTTTTTTTTTTTAATGATTTATGACTTATAGGGACCTTTCTAGGTAATTCTGCAGCTCTCTGTTCATCTTCCTTTCTTAGTCCTATGCATCACACATTCTAGCCTCCTTGTCCTCCACAAACACCACCTGTGAGATTGTTCTTTCCCTGTCTCCCCCAACTCATTTTTATTTATTTATTTGTTTATTTTTGTGGTACTGGGGATTGAACCCAGGACCTTGTGCATGCAAGGCAAGCACTCTACCAACTGAGCCATATCCCCAGCTGTCTCCCTCAACTCAGGCAGGTAGTCCCTATTCCTAGCTCTGATTCAGTACCCTATCTATGGGTTGTCACCTGGAATCTGCCACCATACAGTAAGCTGCTGTAGTCTTGGGTCTTACCTTGATTTTTTTTTTTCCCTTTTGTCAGGGATCAACACAGTCTTGAACTGCCTTAACTGTTATTAAAATAGTGTTAATAACTAGTAATAACATGTGCCAATAAAGCAGTTTGGCAGTCTTGCAGGAATAAGTAGTTTATCAGAACTTTTAAAACATAAGCTTCATATGTTATATACCACAGTGAATTTCATCATCATGTATATCCACAAGACACTAACATTTAAAAAAAAAAACAAAAAAAGCCTAAGTAAATTCCAGAAAGTTCAATAGAGAGAAGGGATCATGGGGAGGAAGGAGGAAAGGAAAAGGGGGCAATACTAGGGATTGAATTGGAACAAATGATATGCTTTTATAATTATGTCAAAGTGAATCCTAATGTTATGTATATTATGTATAACTAAAAAGAACCAGTAAAAAAAAGTATATAAAGTTTTTCAGTTCAAATTTCACAATTGTAAGATACTCATGGCCCTAGGAACATGATTATCCCAAAGGCTAGAGAAATTACTGGAAGAAAAAAATTATCACTTTCATTTTTCATGTTAAAACCAGAATACCATCCAGGCTCTTGAATAGTATGCTGCTTATGATAAATTCTTATCAAGAAGAATCAAGTCTGTTTCTTAGCTAAGAAGGCAGTGCATTATTGAAGTTCTTTAGCATGTGAGCAAATAGGGTTTAACAAGGGAAGGAATTAGAAATAGCTGGGTGCTTGGTATGTTTCATGAAGGATTCCTAACTATCATTTGTTCAGTTTTAGTTAACTCATTATAGAAAAGGAAGCAGTTTTTCTCCATTGGCAAAAACAAAGAATACTTTCTCATAGCATGTTTAAATTCCTTTTCATTTGGTGATCTTGTTTCATACCATGTTGATTGCTACATACATTCTTATGCCATTTGCTCCAAGGACAAACCCTAATTAAGAAAATTCTCTTTTTCATTTGACAACTGGTACATGGGCTTCATGCTCAAGGATCAATGAAAGTAGCACTTTTTTTTTCTTTTTCTTTTTTAACCATACGATTTATTTATTTATTTATTTATTTATTTATTTAGTCATACATATCAGCAGAATGTATTTTGACATATAATACATACATGGAATGTACATACATCAATCATATTGTCTATTCTATTCTGCTGCCCTTCCTATCCCCCTACTCCTCCCCTCCTCTTCCATCCTTTCTCTCTATCCAATCTAATGTGACACAGTTTTTTTTTCTTTTTCTCATCACAACATCATATATGTATTCTGTATAACAATGAGGTTCTCCTTCCATCTTCCATGCAACTCCCCTTCTCCCTCTTTTTCCCTCCCACCTGTCTTCCCTATTTAGTGGTAGTCTTCTTCTCATGCTCTTCCTCCCTATCCCATTTTGAGTCACCCCCCTTATATCAGAGAAGACATTCAGCATTTGTTTTTTAGGGATTGGCTAACTTCACTTAGCATAATCTGCTCTAATGCCATCCATTTGCTTGCATATGCCATGATCTTGTTATTTTTTAGTGCTGAATAATATTCCATTGTGTATAAATGCCACATTTTTTAATCCATTCATCTATTGAAGGACATCTAAGTTGGTTCCACATTCTAGCTATTTGAAGTGTGCTGCTGTAAACATTGATGTGGCTGTGTCCCTGTAGTATGCTCTTTTTTAGGTCTTTTGGGTATAGTCTGAGAAGGGGAATAGCTGGGTCAAATGGTGGTTCCATTCCCAGCTTTCCAAGGAATCTCCATACTGCTTTCCAAATTGGCTGCACCAATTTGCAGTCCCACCAGCAATGTATGAGTGTACCTTCCCCCCCCCCCCATCCTCACCAGCACTTATTGTTGTTTGACTTCTTAATGGCTGCCATTCTTATTGGAGTGAGATGGTATCTTAGAGTAGTTTTAATTTGCATTTCTCTGATTGCTAAAGATAGTGAGCATTTTTTCATGTATTTGTTGATTGATTGTTTATCCTCTTCTGAGAAGTTTCTGTTCAAGTCCTTGGCCCATTTGTTGATTGGGTTATTTGCTTTTTTGTTGTTTAAGAAAGTAGCACTTTTTGTCATCAGTTATTCTAACAGAAACACCTTACCCCTCCGCCTTTTGAAGTCAGATATAGTATTTTCTATGGGAAACTGATTTTGAATATCACATTTTCTCTCTTACTATAGAAAGGTCACCGGCTACACTTCTTTACATTAAATATGGAATATAAAATGAGGTTTATAGAGTAAAGGAGTTGCTTGTCTTTCATTTTCCCACAACCCCTTAACATTTGCTTTTACTTTGGCTTACGTGATTAGCCCTAGAGAGGCAGTGACTATGGACATGCATGTGTACATGTGTATCTTTGCAGCATTTTAAAATATATAAAAGAAAAGACCGTGTTTTATAAACCAAACAAGTATCAATAGTACTGACCCACTAAACCTTCTCTTCCCTTATGTTTTTCTACAGGAGTCTCCCCAGGACAGTGCTATCACACGGGATATTAACCGGACATTTCCAGCCCATGATTATTTCAAGGACACAGGAGGAGATGGACAAGATTCCTTATATAAAATATGCAAGGTATTTCATGTCAGAAAAAAAAATTCCATTTTGAATGGCGTTCTGGTTCTTTGAAATTATATGACCACAAAGTGTAGTTCGTATTTGATGGTCAAGAATGCAGAAAGGAGAGAAAAGGCTATAAAATAAAGGTATCAACATAATTTTAGATTCATTAAAGAACAGGAATAATTAGAAATTAGTAGTAGAGATTTTTTTTTTCTCCCTTATAGTTAGGGTTTTCAGATGACAGTCCCCTGGATCCCTATTTATACTCTTGCTTATATATTAAGAACCTCAGAGCCGTGTAACATAGCAATCTTCTTTGCAGTATTTACATTGTACATCCTAAACTTTTCACATTGGGTATAGTCCAATAGTGGGAAGTGTCAGTATGCATCCAGGTGGATTTATAGTGCTGCACCATAGTGGAAAATACTGAATTCTGTCAGAAGGTCTGTACCTGAGCACTGTAAAGAAAATGATAGCCTGTTTCACTTCAGGAATCTCGTTTTCAAAAAGAAAATGATATATCAGAGATATAGAGATAAAAGAAAAAATTGGGACCAGTTTTTCAACTTTGACCTAGAACTAGAACTAGTTTTTAGTCTTTTTTTTGCTAGATCTAGTTTTTAGTCTTTTTTTCCCCCACAGAATTAATCAAGTAATTATTCAAAATCAATTATGTAGTAGACACCTGTCCTTAAGGAACTTAGAATTTTATGATGGAGAAGGAAAAACTAACAACTGGTTTTAGGATAGGATAGCAATAAAGGATGGACTCTCCAATGATGAAGAATATGGTATGAACTCAGAGGATAGCTAGAGTTGACAAATTTTTCTTAAATTTAATTTAAATTTCTACATAAGACACACATAGCTCAGATTTTTAATCTTGTCTGATATAGCCACTTCTTTTTCTTTTCTTTTTTTTTAGTTGTAGATGGACACAATATTTGTCTATATGTAGTGCTGAGGACCGCACCCAGTGCCTCACACATGCTAGGCAAGTGCTCTACTACTGAGCCACACTATTGTCCCCCAACCCTTTTTTTTTTTTTTAAGAGACAGGGACTTGCTGAGTTGTTTAGGGCCTCCCTAAGTTGCTAAGGCTGGCTTTAAACTTGCAATTCTCCTGCTTCAGCCTTCTGAGCTGCTGGGATAACAGGCATGTACCTGGCCTTTTTAACTTCTCTTCTTAGTTGTATTTTCCACTTAAGTAGTCACTCTTGTCATTCCTCGTCTTATTACAGAAAGAAACCTCTGGTCCCTCATCTCAGTCCTGCAGTCCAGCCCGAATCTCTCGGTGATTTTCCCTGCGGCTGTCTCCTCTTAACTGGTCATACTCTCACCTCTCACAACTTCACCAACTCCTTCTCCTGCTCTCCTTCTCTGCCTGACCTTATGACAGAGTCCCTCCCCTGGGTGTTCACTTGGTAGTTCTCTCCAGCTCTGCACTGTCCCCTGGGAGATCCCTTCCATCTGAAAGTAGCAGCTGTCATAACTGCATTGGTGTTCTCAAATCTAGCTTAGCTCACAGTCTTAAGTCTCCGTGTCAGGGTATGTCAAGTACATCGAAAAAATGAGTCTTAAAATAGAGTTTATTTTAAAACATGTTTTATTATGAAAATTTTAAGACAGTCATAAAAGTTGACCAGTATTCTGAATTTATGTATATTCCCCACACAAAGAGCTATGTTGGCATGTGTTACTACCAGTTTTTAACACAGTCTTAACAACTTTGGAATCAGCATTTGTTCATTTGTAATAATTTGTTAGATGGAAAATGGTATCTACTTGTATCATAAACAGATCATTTCTTAAAGCCCTCTTTGCATATCCTGTCTTTGGAAAAGTATATGTTTCTCCCAACCTATATCCCTTTCATCAGATAAGCTGTGATAAAGTGGGAAATCTAATAGAATTACATTTGATTCTATCTGAATTTATGAAAGCATGATTATATGTATGTTTAAAAGCTATAGTTTCACTAAAAGATAATGATGAAACCTGTTCATGTATTAACTAGATTATTATCTGATAAGAAGTGGCATCACATTTTGCTAAGAGATAATTTAAACATACCCAATTTTAAATTGTTTTCTTGGGACACAGGAACCTTACTACAAAAAAAGTAGGTGGAGAATAAAGTTTCACCAGATATAAATTTATTAAATAGGGAAGAACATCTTGAATCTGTAGGGATTGTCTTTCTACATTAGAACTGCTACTACTAATCATTTAAGATAATGTTCAGAGGAGATGGTAATAATCATCTCCTGCCAAAAAAAATAGGATTCCAGAGGAACCCACAAATGTATTCCCCCTTACCAGAAAAGTTATTGCTGACATTAGGGGAAGAATTATATTTTGGTGTCTTTGCCAAAAGACTTTTTCCCTGAAAGAAAAATGAGTGACATTAACAGTGTTAGTAAGTGCCTGCTATATGTAAGGTGCTGCCTAGGTTGAATAGGACATCATCCCAGGCCTCAGAATATCTTCAATCCAGAGAGAAGATAGTGGGGTAGGGAGGGGGAGCATGGGAAGAATAAATGAATTCTTGATAGGGCAGAGTGGTGGGAGGGAAAGGGAGGAGGGGCAGGGGATTTGCAAGGATGGTGGAATGTGATGGACATCATTATCAAAGTACATGTATGAAGACACGAATTGGTGTCAGCATACTTTATGCACAACCAGAGATATGAAAAATTGTGCTATATATGTGTAATAAGAATTGTAATGAATTCCACTATCATTTATTTTTTTAAAAAAAATCAATAAGAATAAATAAATAAATAATAAAATGCAGTGTGGTAAGTGCTATAATAACCATGGATGTAGTAAGTGCCACAGAAGCACAGAGAAGAAAGGAATTAGTGCTCGGTAATTAGAATATGGTAGGGGCTTGTAGGAAGACTGCATTTTTTCAGACAGAGAAGAGGGGAATCTCTAGGGTACAGCATGAGCCATCACAAATTTTCAGAACCTTTTTCAATGCCCCGAAATGGTTTTCGCTTAATCTCCACTCCTTGGCCACAGGAAGTGGTGTGATGACAGTTCTGTTTATTGTAAAAAAAGAATTGCAATTGGAAAGAGGTATTGGCACCATTCATTGGTCATCCAAATGCCCCAGTGGAGTGTCTGTAGCATCCTCCAGACTTCTGTGTTCAAGATCCTAGAGGGCAACCATGGCCCATGAGTCACTGCATTCCTTTAAATTTCTTGTTTTTCCCCCCTCCTCAGGCTTATTCTGTATATGATGAAGAGATTGGCTATTGTCAAGGCCAGTCATTTCTTGCTGCTGTGCTGCTTCTCCACGTGAGTAATTAGGTCTCTCCTATGATTTACACCTGGTAGACTTAGCTTATACTTATCTACAGGCTGGAGGATAGTCTTATTGGGTTTGGCCAGACTCTAGGAGTTTTAACTCCTGTATCTGGAAACTACAAGAGAAACATGGTGAGAATAAATGACAAGTGTTGAAAACTAGTACAATGATAGACTTTCTTTTTATTACTAGGAAAATTAGGTAGATTTTAGCATTGGTTGGCTCCTTGGGGATACTCTGTTGTCTCTAAAGGAGCCACTATCATTAATGTTTGTTTGGGGATTTATGTATTGGGGTGAGAAGAAGGCAGAGAACTTGGCTTGCTTTATTGCCATTTTATTCATGCCTTTATTCACAAAGACCTTTACCCTCCAGATTTTTAATTTTCTTTTAAAGCCAAAACAAAGTTGAAAAATGTAAAGGTGAACACTCAGAGTTCTAGAGTACTCTCCATCTATTATCAATAAGTGTTTTCCACACTGATTTCTCGTCTTGTCTCTCTCTGCATCTCTTTTTCTCTTTCACACACACATTTTATTTTTTATTGGAAAAAAATAATTGAATTTTGCTTTGTTTTGGTACCAGGGATTGAACTCAGGAGCACTCTAACCACTGAACTACATCCCCAGCTCTTTCTTTATTTAGGTCTTGCTAAGTTATTTAAGGTCTAGCTGGGTTGCTGAGGCTGGCTTTGAATTTGGGATACTCCTGAGCCTCCTGAGCTGCCAGGATTACAGGCTTGCACCATGAATTTATTTTTTGAAAGGAAGTAGCAAACAATGAGATTCTGAGCATGTGACTTGTAAGGACATGGACATTCTATAGCATAACCATAATATAATGATCACATCCAAAAATGCCATGTTTATTCAGTAATGTCACAGTCCACATTCATTTTTTTTCCCATTGTCTACTTGGCAAAGTTCTTTACAGTCCTTTTTTTCTAATCATTATCCAGGGAAGATTCAGACATTGTATTTCCTTATTATTTCTCTTTTTCTTTTAATCTAAACTGGCCCACTTTCCTCTTTTGTGTTTCCTGCCATTGATAGTTTTGAAAAACTCAAAAGTCGTCTTGTAAAATGTCCCATATTCTTAATTTATCTAATTATTTCCTCATGATTAAGTTGAAATGTGTGGCAAGAATACCACATAGGAGATGTCAGCAAAGGGGTTTTAAGTGCTGTGCTGGAGGTCAGAGGTGAATGAGTAGTGGACATGATCTTCATCCTAATGGGTGTAATGCTAGTGACTTCTCCTAATTGTAAGGAAATAATCGTACAAATTTCCGTGTTACTGTGAAGGTAAAATAAAACGTTTAATGAAAGATTGTAACAGAGAGCCTTATTTAGATTTAAAGGCTTCTCTGGGGAGGTAGCCTTGCAGTATACCCTGAAACATGAAAAGGGGTGCTACTCTGTTTTGAACTTTTCAGTGTTACTTTTTCCTTTTTAAGTTGTTGTGGAGATAAACTATTTTAAAAGCATGAGCGTGGAGAGGAGAGCATCACTGGCAAAGGGAATAGTGTAGTATTTAGAAGCCCTGAAATGGGGAACCACTTGTGTATG